GACTCCCAAGTTATTTTAACTCACCAGATGTCATTTTTCTAATGACCTCTGCAAAATCTAACTTCTTTTTGCAACCAGAGAAGATGCCCTCTGCTGGCCATTAGAAAAAAGAAATGCAGGTTCAAAGCTTTTCTGTGTTGGCTTCAATTTTCAGAGCCAAAAGCTAAGTCTATCTTTTATATACAGTCTATGGCTAACACCCAAATTTAGAGATAACTCAGTATAAATAGGTAAAACTAGCATGAATTAATACGTTTACCTAAATTTTACGCGTTTCATTTTTTTCCCCTTTCTCCATTTATTTTATTAGGGCCCAGTCACACAGGTCTGGAGACCAGCTGGCACCTCCTGGTAACACATAGACCACTAAGGAAAAATGTGTATGCAAAAACTGTTTGGCGAGTAAATGCTGAATATTGCTGACAGCTGAAAAAGGTCACAAAGGTATATACAGAACTGAAAACCAATTACTTTGTTCACCAGCAGATCGGGATGGTTACTCGTATTTTTTATGAAAGACTGACTTGTCTGCAGACATTCGCCAGCTTCTCGAGCAGTAGTGATTATGTGCAAGCGTGACGCAAACTGGGAAAGGAAAAACCATCACCTTAATAATAAAAGTTGCTTCTTTTGAAATGTTCTGGTTGCAGTGTTAAGAGTTATCAACCAACCACTGTTAAGTCTTCCTGAAGGGAATGGTCTCCTCTTTCTGATTTCGCTCGCATTTTTCACAGTTTTACTGCTGCTCAAGTTGGCAGGCAACTTCACATCTTTTGTGCAAGCTACAGGGAACGAGCCAGTAGCAGATTACCTCCGCAAGGATGGTGCAGTAGCCATCTTTGGCAGCAACCACTCAGGGAAAAAATATTTTCTCCAGTGGTTGACAGGGGGTCACCAACTAGTCTGTAGGCAAGTGTGACTGATGGGGCAAAACTTTGTAGGAATACATCAAAAACTGATTTACAAAATTTTTAAAAAGCATTGCATTAGTGCTCCTCTGACTACAGAGTCTTATAGTGAAGTTATTAGAGCTCCAGACATTACTGCTCATCAGGTTTCTTATCATGTTAACATTTTTCAGATGGTGGAGGTGAGGTTTATCGAACCTGACACAGTCAAGTACCGATCTCAAAGATGTGTTTGCTTTTCAAAATGACACAAGATATAAGAGGATTACAGAGCTCATGAATATGCCCCGTTTCTATCCTCTGATTTATCACTTTTTTCTCTTTATCAGAAATGCTCATCTCCATCCATAACAGCCTGCCACACCACACAAAGGCCGATGCTCTCGTGCCTGAATAGTTTAGATTCAATTTCAGTTAAGAAGAGAAGAAAAGTTAAAAGTGTATTTGATCTTGTCAACGTTTTCGCGTGTGTCTGTGTGACGACTGTGCCCCCAACAATTCACAAACAGCTACCCCTCAGAGGAAACGAGCAACTGGTTGAAAATCTATTTTTATGATACACAACGTTTACTGAAACAACAGCAAGAAGACGTGATGATTGGTGAATATCACCCTGTCAAAAACATCACTGAAGAACAGAGATAGGTAACGCTATTTATAATAGGCAAGACACAATGAAAAGAACAAACCGATCATTTTCTCCATCATTTACATCTCCAGAAGGGAAGAGAAAACCATAAAGGTATTACACAGCATCTGGTTATGTATCAAACCGTCAAGGCTTTGCAGACAGCATTAATTTTAAGTTCTCATACAGAAAGCTGTCTGCATGATGAGTGACCATTTTCCCATGTCATAGACTAAATATATAGAAGAATTTTCCTTCACCGTCCTGCCTTTAAAACAGGCTGGCAGGTACAACAACCGGGGCCAGCTTGCTCTGGAGCTCGGGCTTCGTTTGCCATTGATTTATATCTTAAACAACCTCTCCCGGTGCTTCCACTGCTAAAGGTGAGATGCACAGCCAGTGTTTGTGACAGAGATGGACTAGGAGCTGTGGCAAGAGAGAGAGGGATGATGCTGTTTTAAAAAATGCATCACCATTAAATCAAAGAGTAACCTTGAACGAGTTCAGGCCGGTGCCAGCTCGGTGACACGATCTGCCCTCAGCACGCCGTGCCACGGAGCATGCCAAACAGCGGGGAGAGGAGAGAGAGAGAGAGAGAGAGGGCTGCAGCGCTCTGATACAGGTTAGGCCTGTAGTGCTGGGTAGCAGTCCGGCTGGTTGCTGACCAAGGGCATTTACACAGGCATTTTGTCCAAGTTGGAGCAACCTGTTATGGGAAAACGAATGAGTCTGAAGCATGTCCTTGCAAACTGCCTTCAAAAGGTTGACTGAAAATAAATAACATCAATTAATCGATTAAACGCCCACCCCGCTATATGAAGTAAGAACGCCCACATTCCTCAGCAGCCGATGTCCAAAAATTGACCTTTTCACTCTTGAAATATGAATTATTCCTTAGGCTTCTTACAGCCACTGAATCTTTTCTGCTAAATTTAATAATCCCCAACACAGTCAAACACACACGCATCTCACTCAGCAGCTGCACAGCATCTCCTCCTCTCCTCTAGCACACAGGCAGGTTATGATGCATGGAGGAGCCGGAAGGAAGAAAGAAGATGAGGTCCAAAATTGCTTCGCTGTCTTATGCCACTTCATGAAACACTTGCACCTTTTAATCCATCAATTTGTGTTCCCGGACACAAATTTTCATCTAACTGGTTTCACGTGCTGATTTGTGTCCACGAACAGAAACCGAATATTTTTTAAAAGCAAGAAAAAAAGTCCTGGGTGGGTTAGCAATGGAAGAACATATTTAGCATGGTTTGAATCCAACAAATGGAAGGTTTTTACACTTCAACTGTGTTTTATTAGAAACTACTCAATGTGGTTTAAGCATTTAAAAACACTTTTTTAAAAAAAGGTTTAGGGACTAAAACCAACTTAGTTAGGTTTAGATAATGATCTTAGTTAGGGTTAAAATCATAGCCTGTATAAGACTGATGAAGTATCTCATCTTTAAAAGTAAAGCCAACACTATAGTGCCATAAATATACATTCTGTGTAATGGCCAGCAGAGGGCCATTACACAGACCCTTGTGATTTTGATTATCTAGATATTTGTGAGAAAGCAGCCCCTCATTCCCCTGATCTTGAACCTCACTAAACACTTTTCTGCTAAGTTTCTGAACTCAGTCGCTAATTTCGAATCACACTGAATAAAATATGAAGTTCATTCTGTAAATTATGGTCATTCTAAGCATCAAAAAGGAGGATTATCTGGAATTTTCCAGTACTTGAAATTGACAAGCTTTTAGCCAATGAGCGTTCACAGTCAGTGGCTTGTGGTAACACCACTTAACTGTACTTCACAAACCAGTCGCCGCTGTCTCAGTGACTTTGTCCATATTTTCAATTGTCTATGGTTAAAATAAAACAGTGGCCACTTTTTTCAAGGCTTGTTTTCTCGGTTGCCAGGGTGGCAAGTCTCTGCTGAAGACTGTTGATAACATACAGCTGACTGACACGAAACAACAAGACAATTCCTGTCCATGAATGTAAACAGAGATTTCTTTCCATTATTTCAAGTTGTGATGTGAGATTACACTAGATATTAATTATTATGTTGCCTTTGGTTTTCTAAAAATATCAAAAACACAGTAAAGATGGGCGAGACTTTTAAAATCCTTCCCCAAAAAAAGGACGTGTGATAGATTTTATATTCGTACATAGACTGAAATCTTGCTGAAACACGCCTGAGCTAATAAAGTGCAGGAGCTGATAAATTAAAGCATATCAGTGTCATTTTCAGCGAGATGAAAAGATGTTTCATGCACATTTGTGCAGGTTACTTCTCAAAAGAAAACCCACAAAAGCAGGATGATATCAGACAAACCTGTCAGCTTGTTATAGTCTGATTCTCACCTCTGAAACCAGGCAAACACAGGAGAGAACAGAACAGTAAACTATGTCTATATGTGTGTTGACTTAGCAGTGATAATGCTAATGAGAAAAGCTGAGATTAATTATTTGAAAGTGGCACAGAATGTTCGAGAGCCGCGCTGCATTGTACTCCAGCATGCTTTGAACTGTTATGTGATGCATTTTCTTCTACATAAATAATAAAACTGGTGCAGAAAGATTTAACAGATTCCAGTAATGAAATAAATGATGCTCAAAGTTTCCTGGGTGAGGATTTGTCTTTTCGGTTTTTTTGCTTTCCTCTAATCCTTAAACAAAAACTACACCTGCAGTGCAGACTTAGAAACCAGCTTGCTACATGATGTTCAACTAACTATCATCACCACGTGCTGTGGGCTGGATCAGTGAAGCCCAGGCTAAAGACGTTTGCACCTTTAATCGAAGAGATATCTTAATATAAGAAGTTCAACTTCAACAGGACATCTATACATGATAAAGAAATGCTGCTGTAATAAATGAAAGAAAGATCTGTTAGCTGCAGCTTATTGACTGTCCTGTAATTATAAAACACAAAGTTAATTCACAGAATTTTCTATAGCAGAACCAAAAGAGAAAAACCTCAAAACAAAACAGGAACTTTCCTGTCATTTCACTTTTTTTTTTTTATCTATTACCTAATTACTGTAGTGTTGCATGAATGGCCACATGGGAGATATTTATCATTAAAGATAAAGCGGTAAAACTTATGAAAATACAGAAAAAGGTCCAAAATTACGCCTTCCTTCACATCTGTTGGGGACAAATTGGCTTCTTTGCCAGCCGATTGTGGCCCCCGGGCATTGTTTCACACGCCTGCTGTTGACAAAAGACTGCACGGGCACACTGACGTCACACCCTGGTTTTGGATTCTGAATTTGGAAGCCTCTGTGTTAGCATTTCATCTAACATTGGTTTTCCGGAGCCAGACTTAAGACTACCATGTGTAAATGGGTTTAGTGCCGAGTTATCAGGTGATTAACAGCTCCATCCATAGACTGTATAGGGGCAAAGCACACATATTAGCTAATTAAAGCTAACACACTAAAAAACAGTAACGTTTTACTCACCAAAACTAAAGCAAAGACCTCTTGAACCATGAGTGCTGCAGGCCGTATTATTTGTCAGGTAATTCAACGAAGAATGCTCCAAAGGCAGCGCACAGGTTTAATTCCACAAGTGTAATTAATGGAGGTAAGACCTAACAGACACCTATGGGGTTTGCTCTTGGCGCACCTGTCACTCAACACAGCCACGCCTCTAACTTTAAACCTTAACAAAATGAAGGGTATAGAAGGTGGTGTTCAGATCCCTGTTGTCTGGGAAAACAGTGTTGTCCACCTCAGTGTATCAAGTAATATGCACTAAAAGCTCATTTAAAAGCACAAAACAATATATATATATATATATATTATATATATATATATATATATATATATATATATGATGTTACAGCAGAAAGCACTAGCTTGCACTTACATGCGTCCCTCGTGCAGTTAAAATAATCCACAAGAGACCACTTTGCAGGTCACAGGTTTAACTCACAGGACTCTCTGGCTCGTTGCCACCGTACACAGTACGACTCCACAGCTAGTTAGAGCTGTGGAGCCTGTATTAAAGTAAGGGTACAAAGAAACAAATAGAAAAATACTAATTTAACCATAAAATATTAAACTAAAATTAAACATCTCATTATGCTTAGTTTATCCATTAGGATTCAAAACCAAAAGATATTACCAACAATAATAATTTCAGTAGAATATGAAAACATATCAAAAACGTATTTACAGATATAATCAGACTGCATTTTGTTAACTTCTTGACCTCGTAGTTGAATCGTGTCCTCCAACGCAGCCACCATTATGTTGGTCATTGATTTTCATGGAAGCACAAGCTCTGTCCGCAATTAAACTCATTAAACTGAGTTCAACCAATTTTCTGGTGGTTTGGTCCTGCCTTGTTAAATAAAAAATTTTTAAAAACGCTGGAACAGCTCTGTTTGTCTCCCTCATATTTTTACCTATGTGGTGAGAAAAGAAAATGGAAAAAGGTTCAGAGCAAAGAAACACTTTCATAAAGAGAAAATACCAAATGTGAATGTGAGATTACTTTTATTGTTCTCGTCTGCTGCAAGACAAAGTCCCCAAGCTAATAAACAGGTTTAAGCACAGCAGACTAACAAAGCATTAGAGTGTAGCCTAGAGGAGGAAAACCCCACTGGTCCTTCAGCTACAACAGCTGAACTTTACATATTACTCGCTCATGCAGATTACCGAATCAAGGAACTACACTTATTTACGCTTTTTAATAAGGCACCAAAGCCTCAGAGGAAATTCTTTATTGAGACGACTGCTAGAAAAGCCGTGGAACTGCTGAGTCCCAGAACGGCACCTATATTTTCAGTAAATAATGTCTTCTGGGCTGGTATGGTATGCATAAAACAGTTAGCGGCGCATGTGGACCAACTTAAGTTGTGTGCAAGCATATCTTGGAAATAAAACACCTTGCAAAAAAGATCCCTTTACTCGGCGTGTTTCAGAGAAGGAACTATCTGTGGTATATAACTTATTTTTAAATCTAACTTCCTCCACTTCTCCCACATTCATTGAGACATGTCATCCATCTATCTGGGCCTCCGGCTGCAGTAGTTCCTCGGCCATGAGTGGCTGCTGCAGCGGGGCTGTATTTCAGCATGTTGAAGTGCATGGAGAATTCCCATGAAGGGTAAGGGATTATGGATTTTGGCCTCTAAGCTGCCTGGATGCCCAGTGAGGATGTCTCTGAGCGTAGTAATCTTCAAACACCACGCAGAGTGATGAGTGGGCACTGAGGAGTTCTACTCAGGATCTAAATGTGTTCCAGCAAGTTACTGGTGAGAGAGAGAGATAGAAGAAGAGAGAGAGAGAGAGAGAGAGAGAGAGAGAGAGGAGGAGAGAGAAAACACCATTTGGTGCAGAAATGGAAAGGATCGACTCAGTGGCTCCTTCAGGCAAGAGACACTTTTGATCCTGTGACCGGTTTTGAGCTATAGTCTGTGTCGAAAACTCGTGCAGAGCAAGGGATCATATTGGAGTGGTGCAAATGTAAATGTCATGGTTCCCCATCACCACACATAAGCGCAGATGGAAAAAGCCAATTGGGCAATTTTTGGGGTCAGGTCGGGCACTCTCAGGGGGTGGCAAACCTTCATAATGAGGCCAGTCACAAGTCTGGTTTAGTCTGTGTCCCAGAAAAAAATAAGGGGATCAGTATGTTGGCTATTCTGGCGTTAGTTGATGCAGAGCTGATGATAGCGGAGTATGAAAGACACTGCTTGTTAATACAAAGGAAAATCTCTCAAATGAAGCACAGTGCAGAGTTAAGAGTAAGGAAATGTCAGAGAAAATCAATAGTCTCTGATCAATATCGGAGAGGAATTCCTCTGATTGAATTAGACCCCCAACAGCATCACTTAATTGTTTTCCTGTCTTATTTAAGTGAAGTCAAATTGCTTTAAAACCATCTTGGACCTGAAGATAAGATTGTGAGCGCAGGAAGACAATCAGATGGGTTGAAGGACATGGGGCTTTATGGAGATTACATCCTCCCCTTAAGAGACCCCCTATCCATCTGCTCATATCAAAAGACTTTGGGATGATGTCTCAGGTATGGCTTGGGAAGGATGCCAAGGCACAGTAATGAAATTCCTTTACAAAATCAGATGGTATTCTAACATTAACGAAAGGCGCTGAATAGCCCAACAAACACAACATGGATGTATCCAGGATGAAATCAGGCTCCATTGTGCACAAAGTGACCTCGGGGCGTCGAAGGATCAAAGGGCTCAATATTCCCTGGGTGATAATCAAATTAAGCTGTACATAAAGCACACCTTCCAAATATAGATCCATAACGTACTGTTTAAATGTACCTCACGGTGCCTGATCGGTGAAATCGACTGAGCCGTATGCTGCTCACACACTGCTTGTGACTGTGCAGCACAAATACTGTCCAAGGCGACAAACAGGTACATCAATTTGGAGCATGACAAGAAATTCCCTTTAGGTGACAACAAAACGTACATGCTATTAGATCAGCTGCAGTATACTGTGATGAAATAAATTGAAGCCAACAGATGAAAGCTCGGGGCCCCAAAACAGGAGAGAGAAGACTATTAAAGGTGCAGCTCCACTGCTTTGTGTTGCACTGCCATCCTTTGGGCACACAGAGAACTAAACATCAGCAGTTATTTTGAGAGCAGACTGGTGGAGGTCTGCACAAGACTGTAGACAGAAGAAAAGAGGACACGTGTGCATGTAAAGCAAATAAAGATAACGCATATTAAACACATTAGTTTATATGCAGGTAAGGCTGATCGATTCCCATTTGTTCCTTTTTTAAATCCTCCTTGCATCCAGCAGGTCATAAGGTTTAGCGTTTAGGTTATAGGGATAAGGTTTTAGGCTTTAGGTTAGGTTCATGTCTGTTCAGGTTTTAAATGATTTTCACCTGTCCGCGTGGCCCAAATGAGGAAAAACTGCAAGGTCAAATGAATAAGACTTCACTTGAAATGTAATATCCTCTAACCTCTATTTGCCTGTTTAGTATGTGGCTAAGAAAGTGCTGAAAGTGCTCTCTGTGTAGAAGTATTTACTTGCATAAGCTTTTCAAGTGAAGTATTGATGTGTTTGCGTTTTACTTAAAGGCAAAGTTTGCCAAATTTACATATTTCCCCCCTGTCCCCTAGTGCTTTTTATTCATCTAAATTGTTTTGGTATAAGTGGTGCTCCATTTTTACAGATATCAGCTCCAGAGATGCCTGCCTTTGCTTCAATATTATGGAACCAGATGGTGCTCGCCTTCTGATGTTCAAACCACCAAAATAAATAAATAAAAAGTTACAAATTAAAAACTCAGCCGCAATAAGTTTACATCCTTTTAAAACCTTGCTCTCTGTTTAATACTTACTGATAGTACAGCGCAGAGGACAGGGAAGCAAGGAAATGACATGCAGGAGATGGTCTGAGGCAGACTCAGGGCACTGCAATAGCTTTCAGGATATGGGATGCCAGCTCATCCTGGTGAGCTATAGAGCAATGGTGGCTTTGACTTCACCCACCTGCTAATCAAAGTGCAACCAATCATGAAGAAAGATGGTTTACCTGACCACAATCTGGAGCCACAGAAAATGTTCTGATTGGTGTAGGAAGATGTCATTGTTATTGTGTGTTTTGAGTGTCAGATTTAGCTTTTTCCATTTAATTCATGCACACAATAAAGTGTGCATGAATTAGTCAGAATACATCACTACCATATGTCTGAACAGCTCTAAGATCAGGATTTGATATAGCTGTCTGGGTGCTTTGGGTGTAGGTAGCCAATATCTTCACTGTTAGGAAGACAGTGGGTGACCACCATTGACCCTGTTCATTACCCTCACCAGAGGTGTCATAGAGCACTCCTGTAATATCTCTGTTTATTTTCCAGTTTTGCTCTGTTCATTATTTGCACATCTTAATCTGTTTGGTTTTTTTAGTCCTGCGTTATGGGGTGAGGTGTTTGAGTGCAAAAGTGTCCGAGTACTAAGTGAATCCACCAGAACTCTATGCAAGCATATGGAGAAACATGCAAACCCCACCTGCCTTTGAACTGTCCTGCTGTGAGGCAGCAGATCTAACCACAATTTCTATGTAGATATTTGTGGGATTTGTAAACTAGGAAGAATTTTATTCATGTGAAGTAATAATAATGGGCTGGATTTATACAGCGCTTTTCAAGGCACCCAAAGCGCTTTACAATACCACTATTCATTCACACACTGGTGGAGGCAAACTACGGTTGTAGCCACAGCTGCCCTGGGGCAGACTGACAGAAGCGAGGCTGCCATATCGCACCATCGGCCCCTCTGGCCAACACCAGTAGGGTAAAGTGTCTTGCCCAAGGACACAACGACCAGGACAGAGAGCCTAGGGATCAAACCGGCGACCTTCCGGTTACAGATGCACTTCCCAACCCCCTGATCCACAGTCGCCCCATATTGTGTAGTACAACCTGACTACACAATAAAATGTGCAACAGTGTGTTCCCATATGTTCAAATACAGTGTTTCCAGTCTTCCTGTGTCCAGATTGTTATTTGCCCTTATTTTTGCAACATTTAAGTAATTTTCTACTTTAATTTTTCTAAGAATAGAGTTATTCCTTTGTGCTAATAATTACTAAGCCTGCAAAAATTTGCCATTTTGTCCACTGCTCTAAATGTAGAACACATTAGAGGGGGTAATATGAAACGTCCACTGTGTGTGTGTGTGTCCTCCGTTAGCTGCTCTCCGTCATTATTTTCTAGTCAACAGACATCTGCCCACTTTGCACACTAACGTGGGGCAGTGGCTGAATGCAGCGCGGGAGAGGGGAGGAGGAGGAGGAGGAGGGGGCGAAGTCTGGATGACGTCAGCGGTGTTTCGTGCACGCGGACAATGAGCTGTGGCGAAGAAGCAGCTGTGTGTACATACAGTAGCTGTATACAGTACATCAGGGCCTGTCAGCCAGGCAGAGCTGCTGTGTGTGTGGCGATGGGGAGGAAATAAAGCGGCTCTTCTACATGTCACCGACGCGGAAAGGTATGTGTGGAACAAACTGTTTCATGTTGCTATGCTCTCGGTTTTATTGTGATATGTATCGGTTATATTTAAAGGATAAGGGGGGGGGGAGCTGCTGGGTTTCCGCACAGTGCGCTTTCTTTCTGCCAGTGCGGATTTGCTGAATAAACCGCTCAGTTTACATCAGGACGTAAATGAGCATACGTTTACCTGTTTAGAGGTATAGATTATTTGCAGGGTCTTTCTATAAACACTGTTACTACCGGGGAAGGCAAACGACAGCAACGTATCATCCGTTTGTTTTAAACGAGTCGTGACGCGCGCGCGCTCTTTGCAGGATATGGTGATTATTTATTAATTTCTTCACGGTGATGATGCACAGCAGGCGAGGCGCTCACTGGAAACAGGTGGTGCTCCTCTGCCATGTTTAGAACGGGCACAGATACCTAAATCCCACTCCCGGCGATGATTAAACAAAGCTGGTAGAAATATAAATAAGCCAAGTCCTCGGGCACGTCTTATTATCCAGCATAGAAGTCATGATGATCCACCAACAAGGTCGAGTCTCTCCAGGGTCCAGGGTCTGAATCCATTTGTTATGATTCCGTCAACTTTTACTGAAGCTTCAGAGAAATGCAGTTTATAATTGTATCTTTCATATGTCATTTGTACAACGTCGGTTAATTTCAAAATAAATAACTTCAGTATAACAACTTCATCTATCCCCCCTTTTTTTCCCCAAGTTAGGGTGTAGGGTTGCTGGTTGGAGCCTTTCACAGCAGATGTAAAGTGTAAATGTGGTGTGCACTCTGAACAGAGCACAGGTCTATGATAAATATTGTTTATTAAGTAGTCAACGACCTGCAGTCATTTTCCAAAGAAGCTGAAAATAAGAGTTAGGACTGGGGAAATTATCAGAGGTAAAACCTTAATAGCTGAATATGAGCTAAATTAATTAATTTTTGAAACGCTGTATAAAAGTGAAAAAGAACTTACTGCATGTAAAAGTTAAAGATTATGCTTTAAGGTGAAAAGAGGTAGTTTTTGGAGGGTTTTCTTTTTTGGCTGTCATTTTGTACAAATTCAGAGGTTCTCTCACACTATTTTAAAAAAATAGCCAAGTTAAATTTCGGTGAAATAAATGTCAGCACAGAACTGGCATGTTGTTTGGTTGGTTGTCTTTCAATGATAGATTTTTATTGTCACTTTGCATTCTTGTACAACAAACGTTAAAGAATAAAAAGAATAAAGAGGACATATGAGCTACTAAATTCCCTTCTGCTAAGTTGTTTGAGATGGATAATGCAATTTTGAATAAATAAATAATAAGTGAATAAATTATAAATTCAGAATTCCACTGTATTTTCTTTTATTGCCCACCTCACTGGCTCTACGCTCCAGTATCTGAAAAACCCTGAAGTGATCCACGGTCACTTTCTCATAATAGTTTGGTACATTTTTGTAAATGTCAGGTCCTCCTAAAAAAAGTGCCCAACAATAACATTTAACAACCTTCCTAGGACAAAATAACATTTTCACTCCACAGTCATCATGGTAACAAATGAAAAAAAATAGTGTTATCACTCATATTAACCATCAACTTTTTATTACACTCACTCAGAATAGGATTGAAAGGCGATGGAGAAAGTCTATTCCTCACTCTAACACCAATGCATTATTTCGAATATGATTTTATTTTTTAATCAAACTGTATTTATATATATATCTTTCAAAATATTAGTTATTGTCAATACTGGTATAAGGCAACACCCTTACCTTATACTATCATTGCAGACATGTAAAAGTTTGGCTTTATCATCAAAGCTGTGAAGAAAATGCTGATTTTGTTAAGCGCAGATGTATTCTCTAATGCATTAGAAATACAAGGTGTTATCATATAAGACAGAATATAAGGTGACTAAGTCATTATATGGAGTCAATGGTAAAAAAAAAAAAAAAAAAAAGTTCGAACCAACGGCCACATCAATACTGATTCAAGTACTTTATTTACCCCTCAGGTAATCTAAGAAAATGGAGGGAGGAAACTTGTAAGTATATCTTTGTGGACATAATTTCACATAAATCAATAAGTTCTCCAAAGATTTTATAAAGTTCTTTCCAAGAGAGGGAGCAGTCACAGCACTGCGCCATTCTTTGTGTCATTGCAGTGGTTACTCCCGAGACTATCTTGATCGCTTCATCCAAAGCCAAGACTCATCTGTGGTAAACAAGTTCCAGCAGAAATACTGGAAAACCAAGCAGACTCTCATCAAGGTCACCGGGAAGAAGGAGGACGAGCATGTGGTCGCCTCAGACGCAGATCTGGATGCCAAGCTGGAGGTGAGCAGGAGTATTAAACGGTTTGGCCTTATAGTTTAAGAGCATGCTCAGATGTTGTACTCCTCTGTCACACCACAGAAACATCAAGAAAGCTGAAGGTACCCTCCCTCAGGCAGGCTGCACAGACTAAAATGGCTTTTTGATTTACACTATGCCAGAAATTGCTCGAGGCTTAAAAGTTTTATTAGGTTGCTCGACCCCCCTCCCCCTCGTCTGGCATCCATTACTGGAGCGAGGAGAACTTAATTCATGAAATCAATACTTGATAAACATCCAGCATTAATCTAGGCCATGCCCCTGATAAACATCTCAATTTTAGACTGTATATAAAAGATGGGCGGAGCTTCCAGGTCTATAAAGTGAAGTCAGTGGAGAAGCGCATTAAACTTGCAGATTTTTTTTTCTAATGGTCAGGTGACTCCTGTGGGTGCAAACAGACTAATGACCCTAAAAAAAAAACCCACGTATTTAATCATTTAGTTAGATTAGTTTATGTTCCGATTTTATATTACCATGCCTAACTAAACATCAGCTGTTCTTTGGGTAAATTTATTTTTATAACCTATTCATTTGGATACCAGTAACAGTTAAAGTTAGGAGGACTGACAGATGTACGGACACAGGCAGCTGTAGCCAACAGCTGTCTGCTACACCTCCACTAATGCAACTCACTGAACCTCTTTTTTTGTCTTTTGAATTATTTTTATTACAAATATGTAAGAAATAATGTGCCGGGTTGTGAGGTGCAGAATGTCCATAACAAATTCTAGTTTCAGTTTTTGAATAGTTTATTTACACCACTGCTGAAAGGCTTGAGGTCAGAATTTCTTGTTTTTTTTTCATTTTGTTTTGTTTTAAATGCAAACCTATCAAACACATGAATTGGAAAAAATGAATATTTAGGGCAGTAAGGGTTTAAAATAAGATTTCTAATCTGAAAAAACAATTTTGTATTTTAAATTCTGTTTTCAGGTAATTTTAAGAAATTTCACTCTATGCTTCCTCCAACTAGTTTGGTTTGATGGTACAATGGCCATCAATGCTTGGCCACTTGATTATTGACAGGTTACTAGCCGACTGCTTCTTCTCCAGTTTTGCTTGGTATGGAGTCACGATTATTGGCCTGTTGGAAGAAACTGGGGAAAATGGTGCTGCAAAATTAAGTAGTCTTTTTTGTTCAAGGTTCTTTTTATTTTGTAGAACTCTCAGAGTTTCCCACCACAAAGTGTCTCCATAAGAGTTTTCCACCATGCTTGGCATCAAGCACTCCGCCAGCTCATTTTCTCCACATCTCAAAGATGTTTTTGTCTTTTTAATCTGTCTGCTTCTTTCAACTTGCTACAGTTCAACGCCAAATAAAGATCTAAACATCTCAAATATCATGAAAGCAAACGGGATCACAATCCAGTTCCACAGTAAAGACTTAAAATACAAAAAAAACAAAAACTGCTTCTAATTTCTGCAGGATTTTTTGTGAAAAAAGTAAAGAGTACCAGAGATTTTGATTTGATGGGCATTTGCATACAATACAGTCAAGCTGTAACACCAATGAGTCTAGTATTGAGACTGGGGAGTGCTGGCCACTCCATTATAGTCAGAACGTAGCTGTCTGAGTGCTCTCTCTAAATAGTTCTTGCACAGTTTGAATTTGTGGTTTAGGTCTCCTGATGTAAAAAGAAATTGGCTCCAATTGAACAATATCCACAGGCCACAGCACTGACTTTTCTTATTCCAGGGTCCTTTTACCCAGACATCCAAGATTACCACCACCAGAAGGTGTCATAAAGCTCCAGTATCTTTCCATTTGTCCCACACCTCACAAATACTCTTTGTGGCCCAAATACCTCCAATCTTCTTCCATCCACGATCTATGTTGTCCATGTATGTTTCATCTCAGCGTTTTCCTTTTCTCAGCCAGACTTGGATATGACTTTCTCCTATGCAACTATGCCAACAAATACAGAAGTAAACCTTTCACTGTTGGAAGAAACTGAGTTTCGCAGGTATTTAGTGAAGCTGCCGGTTAAGATCCCGAGAAGCATCCGTTTCTCAGACAAGAGACTCTGATGGACTTGTCAGTTGTGCATTGGCGCGTCCACCTTTTCTTTCTATTGTTGTTGGAGTAATTTTGTGCTGTTCTATGAAGGGAAAAGTATGTACTGTTGTAAGAGAAAAAGTTATTTGGCAATTTCATTAATAGAATAATATTAATTTCTGAGAAGAATAAAGAGTTTGAAAAGACACTTTTCCCTTTTCTATTATTATTTTCCTTGTTTTGACACAATAAATGAACTCAGAAAAGCTGACGCTTTGGAAACTCAACTAGCTAAATTAATTGCATCTTTAATCATCGGAACAGCTTTCAGCTGTGCTAACATAATTGGAAAAGAGATTTTTAAATGATCAATTAGCCTTTTAACATGATAAACTTGCATTAGGTAACACAATGAAACAGAAGTGTTGTCTGCTGAAAACAGACTTCGGCCTGTGTAGATGGTTCATTTAAAATCATTAGGGATTTATCATCGGCAATTCCATTAATCATTAATCATCAATTACAACGTTTCATTTGACTAGGTGTTTATGCTGATATTGTTTTGTTATGCAGGTCTTCCACTCGATTCAGAGAACATGCATGGAGCTTTTGAAGGTCATTGAGCAGTATCAGAGGAGGATCTGCCGTAAGTTCAAATATAATTGTTAAATCATTTTGAGTACAACGAATCTACTGATTGAGTTTAAGACTTCTAGAATGTCAACCAAAACAAACACATTCTTAAGATATTAATATCCATCCAGAGTGATTTCTCTCTCTTACTGTTCAGTCCTTTCCCAAGAAGAGAATGAGCTGGGTCGTTTCCTGCGCTCCCAGGGCTCTCAGGATAAAACCAGAGCTGGAAAGATCATGCAAGCCACAGGAAAAGCTCTCTGCTTCTCATCACAGCAGAGGTAGGGGACACGGATCAATGTACAATCTGCCACATCCTTAAAATAAATCACATGCTGGACTAGAAAATAGCTTCAAGTAAAGGTCAGCCAACTGTATCACCCCAAATCCACAAAAAGGATGGAGAGTCATATCAGGAATGTTCATCAGGAGCAATAAAATAGCTGCCCTAACAGAGCAGATAACAGGGTTACTACACAGCATAGGTACTCTCACTCTACTGAAAACAGGGATTTCATTTACGTGTCCGAATCTGTGTGTCAGTCTGACAGTAGTGGTGATAATTATTATTAATATAACTTAGTAAATTATATTGTTTAGATTTTGTAAGATCAGCGGCAGCGTGAAAGTCATGTTGACGATTTTGGTTTTGCCAGTATTTCTATTTTTTTTTTTCCCCCCATTGCTCATCTTTTGATTCTTGAGTTCACCATTTGCATTTCCAAGATCATTTAAAGCTTTTCGTCCTGGAGCTAAGATACTTTTCAGTGCAGCTGAATAAATCAGCAGACTAATCTGCAGCGTAGACAAGACATGACAAATTTTCCACATGATGATCCAAGCCACATGCAGCACCTTAATACGGAGTTTAATACGACACCCTGCAGATTGGCTCTGAGGAACCCGCTGTGCCGTTTGTACCAGGAGGTGGAAACGTTCCGTTATCGTGCCATCTCAGACACGTGGCTGACAGTGAATCGAATGGAGCAGTCAAGGACTGAGTACCGTGGAGCGCTGCTTTGGATGAAGGACGTATCTCAGGAGCTCGACCCAGATACACATAAACAGATGGAGAAATTCAGAAAGGTTTGTTTTGTTCTTTTCAGAGCACAGCAATGAAGAGATTAACAATCATTTTCATAGCAGAAAGAAAAGCTTACATACTAGCACAAATAATGCCTGCATTCTCTTTAGTTTTGCCCATCTCAGGGCTCAGGCATACGTGATAGTTCAAAGTGACACTTCAGGGTTTAAGCTGCACCTCCTGTGACAATTCATAATGTCTATATACCAGTAAGTCACAACTGCATATAATCCAATTAATTGTTCTTTTGTTAATTTAATGGGTACTTCTCAGACTGCAACCCCACTGTTGATATGATGAAGTGCTGCTCCCGCCTAGAGCAACATAAAAACAGTAATATCAGAGCCCTGCCAACGCAGTCTGTGGGAAATTGGCAAAAATATTATGACTTCCACAAATTCAATTTCTTCCTTCGCCGCAGGGCCTGCAGCAATCAGTAATTAATCTGTCAATTTTTTTTGATTAAATGTTTAGTCTTAAAAATAAATGTCAGAAACACTGGAAAATGTCCATCATCAGCTTACAGTGCTTCGTCTGGTTCATATTTATATTCTGTTTTAGTGGGACAACAGTTTAAAACCCTAAAACATGTAGACCATGTTGAAATAACTACAAATGCCATTTTACTAATCAATTCAGCATTAACAACACAACAGATCAAAAAGCAAGAAATCATGTTATAAAACCTGACACCAGAGGGCAGAACATACCCATAGATGGTGGTCCGCCTGCAAGAACCCAGCACTTTTTACAGTTATGTGAACAAGAACTCGACTGTTTGCATTTTCCTTGTGTGTCATATAATACTAGGTGGGGAGCATTTCACATATATTCTCTCTCAGGTTCAGGCTCAGGTGCGCACAACCAAAACGAGCTTTGACAAACTGAAGAATGACGTCTGCCAGAAAGTGGACCTGCTGGGAGCGAGCCGCTGCAACCTCCTCTCTCACGTCTTAACCACATATCAGGTTCGCCTCACAAGTCCCAGCTGTCTGCGTACACTCCACCGAGCTTAAATATGGTGTTTTCAATGGCTCTGCCACATGTGGCTTAGTCAGCAGGTCTAAACTATCACCCACTGGGGTGAATTACTACTTTTACCTTGAGCAGCTGAGCGTGTAACTTGTTTCTTGTGTGCGTGTCTTAGACAACACTTTTGCACTTCTGGGAGAAAACATCCCACACCATGGCAGCCATCCATGAGAGCTTCAAGGGCTGTCAGCATTATGAGTTCTCTACAATTAAGGTCTGAGAGAGTCTCAGTAATAACAGTACTAAATGCTGACACTGGAGACATGTAATGACAATAAGCGATGATTTTGTTCCAATTATTGTTCCAGACTTTACAAGACCCTGTGGACAAACTGGCTAAAAAGAAGGGGAAAAATAAAGTCAAGGCAGAAACAGAAGAAGCAAAGAAAGAAGAAACCACAGACGACCAGTGAGCTTCAAGAAATATCTATTGTTATGCAAGAAAACCAAACGCGTACGAAAAACAGTGAAAATGTCGAGTACATGTATGGGCAATGTTCAGTCTGAACAGAGACAAAGAATTTCTGCAAGCCAGCTGTAGGTCAGCCTGACTCATCCCCGAGGCATCAACTAAGGCTGTTTTCTTAAAGCCACTGGTATGTCTCGTTTACGCAGACTGTTTCCTTAGGCGGCGGTGTGTGATGCAACAGGTTATGGCATTAGTGTGAAATGGGTGTAACTCCAAGCCCATCAGGATTATGGTTGTGAATGGGTGTACTTTAACCTAAACCACAATTATTCCCTAACCTAACCAAGCAGTTTTTAGGTCCTACACCCAACCAGCAAAAAACAAAACAAACTACCACGCCATGACTTCCTAGCTGACAGCGCCATGGATTCAACATCCTAACACATACTTTTAGGTCTCTAAAAACAGAGTCAATGTCTCCTGATTGGTGCCAATGACAAAAGGACAGGTAGCACCTGAGAAAAACTGATCTATTGAAGGCCCACTGGGATGAGGACACACTGTGTATGTCACCTATGAACAAAATGCTATAAGCTTAATTTCTGTTTCTTTACAGACTCATCTCTCTTGTAAATGAAAACACCAGTGACAAGGCGAGAGAAGGTAAAAGATGTAAAACTTGAAGATTTAATTGTGTTTTTAAATTGCATTTTAGGTTGAAAATAATAACTGACTTCATTGTTAAATAATCTGATTATATGGAAAATAACAAAACTAAGAACAAATGGGACCCATTATCAATCCTGGCACCAATTTTTCTACAGTTCAGGGTTACAGCAAGGATGGAGCACTTGTTAGAAGCAGAGGGTGACCTGAAGGCCCAGCATAAAGATGTAGTGCAAGATGAGCAAGGATTATTTTGAACTGTGAATCATGCAAAGCCACATCAGTAGAGTCAGTGAATTCAAATGTAGAGGTGGAAATAAGTGTAAATGGTCCCCTCAGTGATTTGAGTCCATAATGAATGGCAAAGCAAACTAAGGAAAGGAAAGCTGTCTTGAATCTAGATAATTATAATTAAAATTAATGTGAAAATTTAAACACTGTGTGGGGGAAAAAAAAAAAAAAAAAAAAAAAAAAAAAAGATAAAATCATCCAAACATTTTTAAATTAACACTTTTTGTTGCTTCCCAGAGTCGGAGGGAGAGGAGACAGACAGCATGGCCTTACTGAATGAGATCCTGGGAGGTTTGTCTGTGGATGAGGGGGATTTTTCTCAGGAGTGGACAGAAGTGTTTGGAGAGACTGAGGAAGGAACAAGTGCTGCATCCACCAGACCAACAGAGGCCCAGGACAAGGAAAACTTCTTTCTACCATCACAGCTTTTGGACCAGAGTTTGAATAATCTGCAGTCTTCCATCTCAGGTCAGCCTGTGTGTGTGTGTGTGTGTGTGTGTGTGTGTGTGTGTGTGTGTGTGTGTGTGTGTGTGTGTGTGTGTGTGTGTGTGTGTGTGTGTGTTGCAACTGTGCTACTATACAAGAGTGAACCAGAAAATTGGCAAGTTGGTCCAAGGAAGCTCTTTAGTAATCAAAAGAATAGACCATTTGGATTTTGCACCATTAGACCGATTCTCTCACCATGACCACCATGCAGAACCTGGAAAAATTAGCCACCATTAACCACCAATTAGCCATAATTTATTTTAATTACACATTAAGGAGAGATACATATTCCTAAAAACTAATAAACACAGTTTTTCTTTGAATCAGTGCATTAGCAAAATCACCAAAAGGCAGAGTTAAAATGAGCTGCTTTTTCCTCCCCAATGGTTTCCACACAGGCAAAAGAGTGGCTTTAAAAGGATTTATCAAATCCACATCTGTCAAAGTAATAGCAGGAGGCTGTTAAAATACAGCAATTAGATTTCCTTACCCGTAGGTAATTGCCAACTACTTTCCATCTCCTCTTGGCTTGGATTCTCATCTGGTATTGTTAACTTGGTTTTGTGAATTTCCAGCTTTAAAGGTTGCAAGCTGCACACTTCTATAAAACTGCTTATAGTTTGACTGCATTTCCGAGGCACATATAAGAATCCGGCAATTCAGTGTTAATCATTAAAGTGCAATAGGTCAGACAAAATGATTTAGTGAGTGATTTACTGTAGCATGACTGAGATTTAACTCATGAGTCACAGCACATTACTGTGGGAATATTCCCACAATCCCAAAACAATCATTGAGAAAGAAAAGTCCTGTAAATATATGCAAGATGGGCGAGGTCAAGGAGAAACAAATGATATCAGGAGAGACTAACTTGTGAGTGACTTTTGGAAATATACTGAGGCCTCAGTCTCTTCCTATGAAAAGCCGTTAAACATGCATTTTCTACTTTTAACTGGTACGACAGATTGAACCCCAAATTAAGGGAACACGAAACTGTAAACACCAACAATAATTAGACCCAGCGTTGGTAGAAATATAAAATCGTTATAAAGCAAATGAGCGGTAGTCAATCTGTGCAAACAGAAGTGCTGCAGGGGCTGACTTGAAATGCAAAACTGCTTCTTACAGTTTACAGGGAAACAGAGCGTGCCTCTTCTCTTTTTCTCCTCTCAAATGTTGGCATGAGGCTTATCACACACACACTTAATATGGCATACATATCAAATTAGACCTTCAGTAAATTTTGTGCATCTGCAGAGTGACTTCCAAAGCACAAGCCCATTGAAAGCTGTCTGTCTCCACTGCAAAACTAAATTTACATCAGAGCTCTTTTGCAGTCATATTCAGAGTGCATGATCAGGCTGTGAAACTGGTAGAAATGTGGAAAAAAATCCTTTATTTTGCTTCTAAACATGGTTACTTGTTCTTATTATTAAATACTGCATGCTGTAACTAGCACTCATTCTCAGGCTTGTAAAACAAGTTGCTGTGGGTTATCTGTAAGATTATGGCATGACCTTGACAACCTTGTACTAAACAGAAAGCATTTTGAGGGGATTTTGGTTAAAGGTCACTGTTTAAATTAAAAATTGCACAGGATCAGCAGCCAAACTGTATTTAAAGAAAACACAAAGTTTGATGAATTTTGCCTATAATAAAAGGTTTTAAGTTGTACTTTTACCAACATCCTTGTTATTGCTGGACTCTGCCATAGGATAATATTCAGTACGTCTCTCGTCTTCTAGAATAGAATAGCCCTTTATTGTCATTGTACACAATGACAGTAAAGGGCTATTATATTCTAGAGCATGTTGGATTGAAGCAATAGTGGTGAAAGAGGTCAGCCCTTCAAGAGGCAGACAAGCCAACAGAAAGCAGAGCAGACTGATCCAAAAGAAGTCACAGAACTCCGGATGGAGTCCAAACTGGCAAATCAAAACTAAAACGGCTCATCTTCAAAGGAAGGAGGAAAAAAATCCACATATTCCCAAGAGCCAAGCAATTTCAGATCCAGGCAGTAGGACTTAAAAGGCAAGGTCAGGGTGCAACTGTAAAATCTACGAAGTACTTCAGCTTATTCAAAAGTTCTGCTGAAGGTGAAACAACAATACACAATTAAAAACAAATTCTCCATTTGGTTAAGTAAGAAATGTACAGCACACTTCACTGTTCTCTCCAGAGCCATGAAGTGCTGCTACATGTTGCATTTTCAAGACACGGAAAAGAATGGAAACCAAATAAATATGTCTGAAACAAGACAATTTCTGTTTTGTATTCACAAAATGTTTGCAATGCAGTAAATGTTTTGATTTTCTGTGGGACGAGTCATCAGCTGTGTGCGATGGAGTGTAATGACTCGTGTTGGATCGTGCTTTTGCACAGTAACAGTTTCCTAGTGAGTAACCCGAATCCATGCTTCCTCTTCAGATTGGGCCCCACATTCTGCCACTCAAGCAACTGAGCACTCATCTGAAGTCAATCAGAGCACTCCAAAGCCAGCAGAGAGAGGTAGGCCTGGGCGATATAAGTCAAGACATTAGAAAGACATTAGAAAATAAGAATGAAATGGATAAACTAGAAAGCCAACGCCAAACCGTCACGCTGACTTTTCTTAGTGATATTTACCTCGTCAAATCTTTTTACAGAGGCAGAAGGGACATCCAAAGATCTCTCAGCGTGGTTCAACCTGTTTGCCGACTTGGACCCCCTCTCCAATCCCGACGCGATCGGCAAAACCAACACAGAGCACGAACTTCACAATGCATAGTTGTTCTTCTGCATCACATTTTACCCTTGTAAGGGGTACAATAAAATAAGTTTAAAAACAGAAAACACAAAAAAAAAAAAAAAAAAGCAGCCTGATCTGACTTGCAGAGGCCTCATGCAAGAATAATTCATATTTTCTTTCTAAAGTGGAACATGACAGGGTGTCTCAGGTAGACAGGCAGATTGTCTAGTTTCCTTAACCTCCTAGGACCTGGCGTCCACATATGTGGACATCACATTTTGGGTTATTTAGACCTAAATACTCAATTTTGCTCTACAAGCGCCTGATACCCACTTATGAGGACATTATACTGCTACTGTTTTATCAAAGTTTTAAACAAATATCCTCATATGCGGCTCTTATTTTTTCTTAAAAACAAAAATAGGGTTAAAAAAAAATAAAAAATAAAAAAAAATCTGGTAATTCTTTGTTTTTACATTCATTGGGCCCCAATACGCCCAAATATCAAAGAAAAATTAAAAATGCATGTCGTGGAAGAGCTCGGGTCTTAGGAGGTTAATATGAATTAGTAACCATTTAAAAAAAATATTTAACAAAAATTAACTTCACTAATTCACTGTGGCATCACTTGCAAATTTACCATGTTTCCTGGTTGCATGTATCGGCATATTATGACTACGTAGTTCTTAAATTCAGTTTACTGAGAAAGCTCACTCCAAAAGCCGACTCAAGGCGTCCACGGTCACTTACTGTTGAATAGCCTGTGATGACAGGCCGCTGACAAATATAGTAGTAATATCTTGCCTAACAACCTTTTGGGGTTTTTCCATGGAAAATAAAAGGCATCCGCACAATGAGCATGACAGACAGCCCATTTTGGAGCCACGCAAGAGGTGTTTTCAACTTAATCTTAGAAGGAAATACGACTAGAGACTGATTTAGAAGAACACCACAAATGTTCTTGCATAATGCCCAGTGTCATAACTGAACAACTAAAATAGAATATGTATGATTATAACTTCAGGAAGATGAGGTTTCTTTTAAAATTGAAAATCTAAAATATTTTTGGAGAAAAAGTTGATACGAGGCCAAACTACAAGGCCATAACATAAAAATGTTTTTAATAACTACAACAATATTGTGGTTTTATTTTGTTAAATAATTGCCAGTTAAAATAATGAGCTCAGAATGTGTGTAGATCTATGTTATCCCTGCAAAAAGCCTACATAAGTGTATAGAAAGGTTGAGATATCCCTAATATGGCTCTCAGGCACACAGCACTGGCTGTGAGCGCTGAATCACCAACTGTTAAACCCTTCTCTTTGCAAATGGCCACCAATCAGGAAAAATCTGGCTTAAAGCTAGAGTTGAATGGCTTGTGTCCAGACAGTAGCTGACCTGAAGGACTGCACCAAGGACCATTATACATAAGTAATACTCTGAGTGCTAAGCTAGTCCAAAGTTAAAAATATGGAAGTGGCGATGAGCACAAGTCCCTTTAAATCAGGCTGTAACCAGAAATGAGCAGATTTATTTCATGGTGGCAGTATTATGCTTCTGTCAGAGCCCCATGAACTATTACCAGCTTTGTCATGAAAGAAAAATGTAAACATTAAATTATTTTAGCAGGGATACCTCAGTACGAGTTTGGAACAAAACGCCTTTGACAGTAGCTGCCTTGGAAATCTCTCTCATAGCATTCATGCTTCATTTCCAGTTCTCATTACTGAAGATGTCAAACTACTGCGTGAGATGCACAATATGAAAGAAGGCAAATATGACAAAGATAACAGTTTGTTTACAGAGCAGTGGAACATGTTGACTGGAGGAATTTTAATGCAGTTAAACAGAATTATTTAAACAAACTGAAGCATAATTGCCTGGCATTGATCTATTCAGCAGTGCAAGAATTTAAACTAAACTCCTTTCTCACCACATCTGAAGGTGGAATTTCATCCATGTAATCCAAGTCGTTTCTTTGATCAGACACAAGCTTGACTTTTTTTGTAAGGACTGATGATGTGTTTGCAAAATACAGTATATGTGATCTCCTTTTAAGTATAATCCAGAAGTGTGTTGATTTAAAACACATCAGTCATTTATTACTGCATGTTGCATGCCTTCTTTTATGTTAAGCAGTAAACGTGATTCAGTGAACTACATGTTTATAGTGATGTGACATTTTTCCACGTTCCTGTATTTACTTAGTGGTTACTGGTTTTTACGGGCATTATACGCTGCGTGAGTGCATTATTCTAGAGCCAAAAAAGAGGAAACTTTAAGAATCGTGTAAATACAGTCTTATTCTGACTTTAGTGACAATGCTGCATAAACTGACTACATATCTGAGTAAATGCCTTAATCAAATCACACGTTAACACAGAGTTATAACCCAGTGACATTTTTTTGTTGCTTTGTTTCATATTCATGCCATATTTATTATTCACTCATAACCAAATACAGCAATTGCCTTACCTTAACTCCTATTTGCATATAAAATCATGCTTATGAATACTAATTATAAGGTTTTTTCCCCCAGGTCATAGATAAACATAATGTATATCAATCCAAAGAGACTTTTTGGGGCTTTCTTTTTTCCTTTATTGAAAAACACACAAGATCTACATAAAAACGTGTAATACACGGGAGAACTGAATCATCGTTGCCTAACACGGCAATCATTTCTGAACGGCACAGTGTGCTTGTGAATATAATCAGAATTAGTATGATTAAAAGTCTTGGAGCTGCAAGCAGAGCAAAGCACTTCAACTGCATTTGTTGCTGAATGTGCTGCACATGTTCTTATTTGTGTTTCTGTGCGTGAGTGGCAAAACGGACCAAAGCCAAAGTCATGTTTTTTTTTGTTTTTTAGAATTATGTTATGATAATACAAACTTTGCAAAGTAACATCAGGCCACATCTGGCTGCATCTGTATATTGAGATAAACTGTGTTAGACTTTTTTTTTTTTCGTCCTTAGTGTAGCTTTACTTCAAGCAAAAATCGAAATTGCACTCTTTTCTGATTGCTTTAACTTTACAAATTGGTCTAAAATAAAAATAGTGATTATCATTTTGTTTCCATTTTAATGATTAGCACTTACGTTTATGTAGTTGCTGAGCTCTTTATTAACACAAATGAAAAGCAAATAAACATCCTGCTTCTTTGTGCTCCAGTAACACTGTATGATAGCAATTGTTAAGAACGGGTAAACTAACAGTTAACCTTCAGGCAACAGATATTTACTGTTAGCAAACAATGAAATGAGACCTGATTTTGAAAGCCAGGTACAACTTTAGAGTACAGGTAATGTTCATAAATATAAATTGTGCTTTACTTTAAAGCATGTATGGAGAGGTAGTGGACCTTGGTGCTTCTTTTCTCACAACTTCTTTTCTTCTTTAATTTTTGGGGGCAGCTTTAAGCACCAAAAAACTACTTGTTTAGGTCCAAGAAAGAAAAAAATAAAATAAAATTGTGGCTTAGATGGAGCTCTATCTCACCATCTTTGTCACAAATGTGGCCAAACTAATGACAAACTGCTTTATTACTAATGACTACAAACATTTGTTATCATGTCCTTGTTTGTTAACAGTAAACTACTTACTAAAGCTTAGTTAACCATCAGTTTACCATTTATCCCAGTTTGTTAAGTTATTACTTTGTGTCCCAAAACACATGAAAGGCCTCTCATCGTAATATCCTTTGGTACATATTTATCAAAAGGGCTGAAACAAATGCCATAATTGTCAGCATCTTACTTCCGCAGGGTCTAGCTTATGTCACTCGTTCCTTTTGCATGAGTTCTCACAGTTGATCAATTCAACAGCGGTCTCTGGAATGTGTCATAGCACCTGAAATTCTAACCTGAACAGGTTAACGCGCAAAGCATCAGTCACAAGGTGTGACATCAATCAGTTGATTCAGTCTGTATTAGCCTCCCTCTCTCCAGAAACTAAAAAAATAATAATGAAACATTTCTGCAAAAGACTGGAATGTCTTTCTGAAGAACAAAGTCAAACACTGGGCAAAGGCAACATAATCCGAGAGAGTACATTCCACATGACCTGAGTTATTGTTCTTGGTAGTGTGGGGCAATAAAACGAGGAAACGGAGGAGCCGTGTGCTTTTTGATTGGTCAGTTAATTGCTGATTAAACAGCTGATGTTTGCATTTTAGCTTACCAAGTTTATTAGTGATCAAACTAGGAATGCAGGTTTCAGTCTCGTCTGGTGAGCCTCTCAGGTGAAGCCTGCACTTAAGTGACTGCTGGTTTCATTTAAGACTGTGTGCTACGAATACATTCAAATAAGTAACAGGAGGGAAAAGGGGAAAGTATTCTGACACCCGGGTATCTTAAAAATATGAAACATAAATGCACTTTGAAATGTTAGCTTGCTGAACACTGAACAGCTAATAAGCTTGTTAGATAATGTTAATACAATATGTTTTTCTTGACATCGCTGTGTTTTGTGAGACTTTTGGATTTTTTTTTTCCCTTTTTTAAATTTTAAACTGCTGACACTAAGTAACACAGTCATTCCAGCAGTCGTTTCTACTATTGTAGAAAATAAAAAGCAACGCTATTTCTGTTACGGGAAGTGTTATAGTACAGAGGAGGCTAGGCTACGTTAGTGATGGGTGAAGAGAGAGGCTCTGCCCAAGGTCAGCAATAATGCCCGAACCATCAGACTTAACTGACAGTGGGACTAACACTAGAATCAAGTAGAGATTCTTGTGCAGCAGGACGCTGGTACCATTATCCTCCTAAGTATTTCTAGACCTTGAGCACTCCCTGCTGGCTAACATTAGGATTATCGGAGTGCAATTTTTTTTCCTTTTATTCTGTTAGACCATACCTGACTAGTTGCAATATTTTAGCTGTAGTTGGTTTGGTCGAGGATACCTGAGGACTAGCTGGTAAGGAGTACTTGTGCTGAGCTGTCTTTCCCCACATCCGCGTCGGGGCTCTGACTGACTGTGCTGTTGTCTGAGTTTACACCACCACTCGAGTCAGTGCTTCTGTCTGTGGAGGACGAAAAGGTAGCTAGTGGTACCGTGGGCATACTCGGGGTGACCTGTGATCCAGAGCTGCTGTTGCCATGAAAACCAGGGTTGATGGACGTGCAAGAAGGAGAGACCGGGGAGAAAAGGGAGGAGCAGAAAAGTTTAACTGGGCAGAAGGCCGAGCCCCTGGGAATGAAGTTCACCTTGTTTTTGTCAGGGCACGAGAACAGAGGGAAGCCCTTTGACTTGCCAGACCTGAAGAGAACAGAAGTGGTACTCAGTTACTTGGCTTGATATCTTTTTATAAAACTGTATCTGATTAACTGCTAGTTACTGATCCTAGACAGCCATGTTGCTCTCATCCCTACCACCCACAATGCAGATAGGCTTGTCTTTCTTGTTTTAATTCAAGAAAGCATAAAAATAATGTAACTGAATTTCAAACAAGTACAGTTTAATTGTGTAGCAGTAACTGCCAGATATAAGGCTATGAGGGTATGTCTAAAAACAAACCCAAGAGGAAGACCAATAAATACTCACACCAGCTCATCAAAGACTTTGACCTTCTCGCAGCCTTCTGGAGGTTCCCGTTTGAACATGTAGCTGTTGTTAGGTTTGGGCGACGTGGCAAACTTGGGGAGAGGAGAACTGCACAAATTGTCTGAAAATACAATAATAAAAAAATGAAACCAGTTTTGTGCTTTTTCTTTTTGGAAAATGATAATGAGACAAATGCATGAAATGTACATTATACATGTTGGCTGCAGATTTTGAGGAGCTGCCGGAAAAGGCGCAGTAGTGCGTCCTCAGTACAAAGCGTTTGTGGAATCATAGTTTCTTTATTTGTTATTTTTGTGGACACCAAAAGAGGATAAACTTAGTAAGCTTATCATGGAATTCTTTGGAAACAGACTCAGATTAGAAAACAAACAAGACTGATAAAGCACATCTTTCTTTTTCCAATGTTGTTTTCCTGCCTATCAAAAACAAACAACACAAAACATACAACAAAACTCTGATTTTTAAATTTTGTTGCCGTCATTAAGAACTCATTTTAGAGGTGTGTAAATGTTTAGTAAGGGCTCCTCCTTAGCAGTATCAAGAAACTTGAACCAGACTTCAGACCTGGTTAAGTGAACTGCGCCTGTTTCCCATCTCTGATTTAAAAAAGAAAAGAAAAACACTTCGCATCACATGCATGAAAGTGACATCACTGGAGGCTTGTTTTGCTGACAGGCTGGTTCACCCACAGTCTCTAAAGGTGAGATACTGCAGGTCCTTCCTGCTGCAGGCAGACTAAGCAATTAACTCTCTGCTCTCAGTACAGTCTCTCAGCAGATTAAACACCAACATTGGTATCGTCACTCTTGTGCAATATTATGTACAAGACACACACACACACACACACACACGCGCGCACACACCTTCTTCGGCTTATCAAATTTAGGCCTGCCGAGCGCTGGAGCCTATCCCAGCAGTCTAGGCAAAAGGTGCCATAACATGGCCTTCAACCCAGCCCTGCTCCTTTGTATAAGCCCAGCAAAATGACCTGGATCAGGCTAGTCATGTGCATAACGTTGACCGAACTATCAGAAACAGACTCCATGAGGGTGGCATAGAGTCTAGATATCCTTTACTCAGCATATTCATCAGATTTCACACATTTGCCTCAAACCACAAAAGGTTTATATAAGCTTTGAATATTGCAAACATGCTACACCTGTTCACTAGTGAAGACACACCTTTGTCAATTTCCTCTGCATAACAGGGGCTCCCATCAGGTGAGTGCAGGTGATCAGAGCTGCAGGGACGGGGCGATGGGCTGGATTCACCACTCGAAGGAGCCTGTGTGTCTGTGTCACGTGTGTCCCCGCTGCTGCTGTAACGATGTGGAGGGAAGGGGGCACGGCGGCCATCTACCACATCCATTGTCTGCGAGGTCAGAATGCATAAGAGGTGGTGAGAAGCCAAGCGGTTACACACATGAATCCTAATATGAAGACAAACTCATAACCTCAATCTTTTCCCCAACACCCTCAAAACCATATGGAAACTGCTGAAGCCACCCAATGCACCCACCTGCTAACTCCCCGAATGAAATAATTCTAGGTGAAAAGTACCAGCTAAAATGCCCTGAATCTAAAACTTAAAAAGGCCTCTGGTGTATTTGTCTGGGTGTTTAAAGGGCAATTGGAGAAGCAAACACCACAGCAGATGGTAGTACTTGACAGCAGATGAACAGTGTGATGTGCAGAGCGTTCTGCTTTGGCACAGCTGATTCAAAAGGGAGACCAGGAAAAAAAAAAAAAAGCTCTGTGCTCAGCAGGCTGTAAATCTGTGGTGTGTGTGTGAGACCTTCTAAGAGTAGAGCTTTACAGACCTGCCAAAGTTTACTAGCCTGCACCAGACGAGATTTAAGGCCTCCTTTCCTATGAGCGATTTATTTCAGAGTGAGTGAGAATGTGTGTGTCTGGCTGCATGGTGCTGAAGTGACTTTACAAGCCTGTGCACGTGTAATGAATTTTAAGCATAGCCTAAAAGTTGTTTAAATCACAGGTATACAATAGTTGCGCATACATGAAGTCTGCCTTTGCATTTGGTGCATTCCTTACATGGTCAACGTTTATTTATCTGGTTTAAGATTAAATTCTAGAGCTCATCTTTGCAATTATGACTTTTAAAACATGTTAAAATCGTATCTAAATATTGCATTTACACAGTGACTGCTTGTTATATGTAATCGAGCAGGGTTTGCATGATGCATAAAAAAAATGTACTCCATGCAAATTAATTCATTATAATGTAAACACAAAGGTTATTTTATGTTAAACAGTAACACTGAATATAAACTACATGAACAACACTGACTCACAATGACCCTTGTAAAAGTGTGATGCAAGTGTGTAGGAGTTGCAGTTGACAGGGCTGGTGTGACGTAGAGTCTCAGCACAGCTTATGTTTGATCATGAGCTGTTAAAACATCTCATGATCAACATCTCACAATTACTGTACATGCTGGTAAAGTCACCTGCACTCACTGATTAAAAGACATCTTCATTACTGTAGGACAAACAAACAGGTTTCAGTTGTAAGCCGTTTCTGTGATGATAAAGATAAGTTCTTCATACCACAACAGTATTTACTTGGCATGTTCATGGTGATTAATTTACTTGAGTCTTAAACTGGAGACAGAGACACAACCCCCAAACAATCTGAGAACTCTCTAAAACAGATAAAAATGAGCTCAATTAAATGCTGTACATAAAAATATTGCATGTGTATTAAGAGTCATGTGAATCTGTTAATCACTTTTGTATCCTTAATGTCTCTGAAATATAGGGCACTAGACAACATACACACCTGCTGTCAGATTGAGTTATGGAATCTGAATTTAATTTTTTAATAATTGAGCTGTTTTAATAAAAACTATGCTGTGCTTTTTATTATTTTCATGTAAAATGACGCCACAGAAGTAAACTTCGAGGTGACAGCTGATGTCAAATCTCTAATACAGTTTAGCTGACTTCTTTACACAACTACAAATCTCACCGAATGTGTATCAGAAGCAGAGCGAGTAGTTGGCATGGGGCCTTTTATTGTGAAAATTAACTAGATTCCTGTCCCCTCGAAATCGTCTGTGTGTAGCTTGATGCAGCTTCCATAAAAACTAAATCTAGCGCTATATTATCTCTGTGGAGCAAAGGAACACTTCTGGGACATTTCTAAAATACTATGGTGCGTCTGATGAAACTGCAAGCATTGTCCTGTGAGGGTGCAATAAGTGCCAGCACCCACATCAGAGCTGGAACCCAAAGCAGCCACACCAAGTGTATTTCCAGGGTTACCCACATAGACTTCGCTTTAGATATAATAAAGGCCACCGCAGTACACGAGTGCAATCGTCTCACTGGTAAACAATGCCATCATTTCGAAAGTTCATTTGCAATTGAACCACTAGACCCAACCCTTCCTGTCTTGTGTCTCCCCATCGGCAGGTAGACCAGGCTGCTGTGATATGATGACTATCAATATCAATAAACTGACTTTCTAGAAAGGTTGGATGGACTCCAGCTTTACCTTCCTGTTCTGCAGCTGTAAGCAGTACTCCTTGTTCTGCTCTTTGGCTAATTCATGTGCCACTACTTGGAGGCTGTAGAGCAGCGGTCCCCAACCTTTTTTGCGCCACGGACCAGTTTAATGTCTGACAATATTTTCACGGACCAGCTGTGTCGCAGATAAATACAACAAAATAAAACTGTGGTATTTTGTAAATAATAATAATATTATTATTATTATTATTATTATTATTATTATTATTATTATTATTACAACAATAATAATAATAATAATAATAATAATAAACACAAATTCACAGTGTAATTGTGTAACTTTATTAGCAGCGTCCTCCTGAAATGCACCAACAACATCGAGAGTAACATCCTCCTCTCTGCCCCTTATTGCTCTCTGGGCACTATGGTAACGCGTAAATATTTCTTTCAAAATAAGACACAAATACAACACAGGAAAAGACCCAGGGAAACCAAGTTAACGATAAAAACCCTGAAAACCATAAATTTCACACCCGAGCCTCAACTCTTGCAGCCCGGTACTGGTCCGTGGCCCGGGGGTTGGGGACCACTGCTGTAGAGCAAAACAAGGACTACAGTCAGCAGCTGCGTTCCAGTATGGTTAGGTTAGAGCCTATGCGTGGGATGATGGAAAGGCAGGAGATTAGACTTTGTAAGTCACAAAGTTTACAATTTAAATATGTGCAAAGAAGCACCTTATAAACAGCCCAGCCCACTTTTTAGCCCACTGGAATGCTTCATTTTAAAGTCTGTATGGCATTAATCTGACATTTTATCCAGCTGGTGAATGATAAGATTTCACAGCATCTGCAGGTATGCAGTTCAACAAGCGCTCCAAATCATGTTGAAACATAGCTTGACCCATCACAGGTATGGGCACACACCCTACCTGTATCCCCTGCTCCAAGTCCTCTCTGATAAACACATTTTCTAGCTCATGGTTGATGCCCTCCACACTGCTCGGCACTCTGCATATGAGGGATTTTATCACAGGCATCGTGGTCGAAGTTGAAGTTGCCTTATACTGGAATGAGAAAAAAAAAAAGACAAAAAAGGAGAAAAAATGAACATTATGTACATGTCAAAAAAAAGAAGAAGAAGAAGAAAAAAAAAAGCTTTGTATACTAAAACACTTCACTTGTCACATATCAAACTGAATTTGTCTTGGAATTGTGGGTGTAGACATTCAGTTTGTAGTTTACATTTAAGCATATCATGGTTTATGGAAATGTTCCTACAGCAGTTGCAGTGCTGAGCATCTGTTAATGAATGAACTGCAGCCAGTGGAGAAAGGGACATGCCCAGACACAGTTCTCCTCTGCTGTCTCCCTTTTACTTTTGATACAACTGGTCACAGAGGAGATTCATTAACTAGTAGTGATGGGATTTCCGGCTCTTTTTAGAGAACCGGCTCTTTCGGCTCGGCCCACTAAAAAGAGCCGGCTCTTTCGGCTCTTCAGGTTGTTTTGTTGCTTTAATTAATTTATTATTAACAACAATATAAAATTATGCACAAAAGGAATTACTAATGTAAAAAGAAAAAAAAAAGAAAAAAAAAGTGGTTTTATTTATAAATGTTTATATATAAATATATACGGTGGCTCCTAGAGACAAAGCACGTACAAACTCCAAAACACGTTTCTAGCATTAACTGAACTTCCAAAACAGAGCTACCTAGATCACTTAAATTACACAATTGAAAGCATATGCGTATTGTTTGTGTATTTATACACAAGTACCCATATATATTCAAATAATTTAAAAAAAAGTTAATTTTTTTATGTTAATTTGGTGTGTGTTATTACCACACCAAATCCAGTCGTTGGTACTTGCTGGCTTGTGTACCGACTAGGTAACAAAAACTCAACACTGCGTCTAGCATCCTGGAGCACTTCTGTTGTCTTTTGTATGTGCTTTGGAGTTTGTACGTGCTTTGTCTCTTGGGGCCACCGTAAATATACTTTTATTTATTCACTCAACATAAAATGTAATAAATAAATCATAATACAAAAACAAACTAGTCACAGTTCAACTTTTAACTATTTAAATTTTCAGCTTTTTCCTTTTACAAATTTAAAATGAAACAACACAAAACGCTGCAAACCACAACACAATTAAATATAAATTAAAATATGAAAACAAACAGAACATGCACATTCTCTGTCATATGGGCCTGCATGAATAAACTTTCTGAATACTTTATCATCTGCAACTGAAAATAGTTGTGGATGATTACGATACCTTTCTAATGTGATGTTGTTGTCCCTGGCTCTCTTTCTCTCCCTCCTGCTCTGTTCCTGTGCTACTGCGGGTGCAACTACCGCCCCTCCCCCCTCTTCCCAGCACAAAGCACAAGGCTCGTGTGCGAGTCAAGTGGAAAAAAAGTGCGAGAGAGAGGGTGAGAAAGAAAGAAAAAAAAAAAATCCACAGCTCGCGATAAGGAGCCGGCTCGCATCGTTCACGTAAAAGATCTGGCTCTAAGAGCCATTTCGTTCACGACCAACACATCACTAATAACTAGGCCTCCTCAGTAAGAGTCAGAGCAACATTGATCATAAAGGTATCATTAAGATGAAACATTGCCTTCACAAAGTCTAAATCTTTCTCAAATCATTTTAATCAATACCTACTCCCTAAAACAGCTCGCCTGGACCCAAAATTGTAACTTCATAATGGTCATTTTATACATTACTTTAAGTTGACATACAACCAAGTTAATCATTTAATCCTGTTAACCGACTAATGTAGAAAACAACCTTGCTCTTTTTCCTATCTTTGACAGTTGAAATTCAGGTTGGTCTGCCTTATTTGTGTTTTTTTTCCCCTCAGCTGCTAAGCTGCCTTATCATATTGCTGCTGTCAGCCTAAAACCCTGCATCACATGTGTGGGGTTAGTTAATGTTTTCACCTGAAAACAACAACCCACATAGTCAAAGCACGAGTACTGACAAGCGTAGCTCACCTGTGGCTGGCATGCAGTGCCATGCTGCGCCTGCTGTGGGAGCTGCAGCGAGCTCTGCTCCCTGTCTTTGCTCTGCCGGTTGACCTGTTTGCCACGCTGCAGCTGTAGCCTCAGTTTAGCAATCTGCTGGAAAAAAAAGAAAAAAAAAGAAGCACAAGCACTTCAGTGAACGACGGCTCACAATGGGAGCCGTGAAGGCATGCGAACATATGAGTTAACCATTCCCATGAGTGAACTGAATGAGGTCAGGAGGTGAAAAGCACATTTCCTCTGATGTACTTCACTGTCAGCAGAGAGATAATACTGTGATTAATTTAAGTTATTCCGCAACTGTGAGAACACAATCTTTGCCAAAATACAGGAAAACCATCTTTGACTCCAACTGATTTCAAGATGTTTGGGAGGAGTTATATTCACTGAAATATGTGCAGTGTACGGCCATAACAAGTAGAGATATCAGTGATTAGGTGACTACTCAAAGGTTTCTTCTAACACAGGCTTTATACATTTCTCAGTAAGACGAATTCAAAACAAAGGGTGTAGACACTAAAGTCACGGGACTGTGGTATAGTTCTTTTTTTGCTAATATTAGAGTTTTAATTTTGGTGTTTACACTTACATGATTGTGTTTACACTTCAAGATCATAAAAGTGGTACAGTTTGTGAAGATTACCTTGCTTACTTTTGATTTGTCTGTGACAATCTCAAAAACTATTTAAAAAACAAACAAAAAAAAAAAAACCAAAAACAAAAAACACCTTGATCTTCAATCCCAAAGGGAACCATTCATGGTCCTAACTTTTGGGCTGGGCTCCAAAAAACTCAGATGCTATACAGCCTGAACTGCTGATACTACCACTGCTAACATTAGCCACACTCAGCAAACTGATCTGGCATTGTGTGTGCGCAACGTTACACCACAACACTTTAACAATACCATTTAGTTGTCAAAGAATGTGATTAACAGTTTAAATGTCTCTTCAATATACAGAAAATATTTGAACGGTGGTTTTAAAACTGCTCTTTAACAGACAGACAATATCTGCACAGACATTGTTTACTCTTGTCTATTAAAGCGTGCTTAATTTTACTATTTTCTAACTTCAGTGGATTTAGTCTGACGTTATTCCTGCCAGCCAAGTCAGTCTTCATGAGTTGTACGGTTGCAGATCAGTATACTGCATAACACCAGGCTTGCAAGTCTGATAATGAGACAAATTTAGTCAATGGGTGTTTCTACATCTGGTCCAGCATCAGCCTAAAAACAGGATACCCATTGTGAGATGCAGTTGCGCTATGCAGACAAAGGTGTGGTCTTCAGTGCTGATCTTGTCATCCTGGCAACACAGTCAACAAAGAAACTTGCTCTTCTCATAGATGTCCTCCCACATATGTAATCGCAGAGGGTAGAGCACTGGAAAGCAGTTCACTACATTCACTTAGTGACTGTAGCACATGATAATGACAAGTCCAGACGATCCTGATGTAATCTCAGTGGATGTGAAAGAGGGTTTTCCTGGCTGTGCTATCCCATTGACTGTACAGGCCAAGGCAAAGGGATTGTTTGCAAAAAGACAAGCACTAAACTTATCTTGTGGCTCTGGCTTCACTCTGAAGAAACAACAAAATCTGCAAAGATGGATCAGATTACAGAATTTGCCATCAGATAGAAATGCTGTAAGCTCATAGCAGAGAAAAGATTTTTTATCAAACTCTTGTGGCACTTATGAAAGTTTCTTTATCCCTTTTCTTTTATACCTGTTAACAGTGCAACACGAATACCAGTTGTTGACAGTAAATAACTGTCAAATTAGAAGTGTGAACATTCAGACTTCTGAAATAAACCACAGTCTTGTTCTTGTTAGATCACATGCTATGAAGAAAAAAGTAAAGCCTGTTATTTAATAGGACATCTCAGTACTGACCAATGAAGCACAGTAGTAGTGTGGTGTGGAATTACAAAACACATGTCTGAGCTTTATGAAAGTTGGAATGACACCAACCTCATCCTTTCAAACTGTGGACAACTTCTTCGGTCAACACATCTGTGTGCCATTAATATTTTGGAACTACTTTTGGACTGGAAACAGAAACTATGAGTGTCCATTATGCTCATATTTTCTGTTATGCTCAACAGAAAATATGTTCTGCTCAATATAACATCTTCAGTGCCTCAGTTACCCCGACTTAAGTTGTACATACCCAAAATGAAACTATATGGGTGTTTCACCCTTGAGAGGAGCTCCTGCACCATCTCTCAAAAACAAGAGGCCATAATGAGATGCAAAGGACACAGCTGAGTGAGGAACAGGGGGAGAAAGAGGATAAATTTAGACTGTGGTCTGAAGAGCTGGAGACCTTATAATGCCGTGTGGTCGCTTGGTTGGCCACCATGCCTGGCAGACAGAAAGGAGTGGAAACCAACCTTAAGGAGGATAATATTTAGTCTGACCACAGACCCTGACAAATAAAACACTTGAAAATGATATGAGCCTCAAAAACGACAAAAACATTCTTTCCTCTTGCTGAGTTAATGTATTCAGCTAGCCTGGGTGGATAGGACATTTTCTGTGGTATGAATTAAGGTTAAAATGGACCCATTACGCTCATTTCCAGCTTTATATTCTTATTTTTGGACTCTAGTGTAGCTTTGCGTGACTCACATTTTAAGCTAGTGGTCATTTATCTTATACTAGGTCTTGGTGCAGCCCCTGGGATGATCCACTATCCGAAACAAACAATTTAAAGTTTCCTACACCCTCCTTTTAAGAAAACTGATTGGTTGTCCCTTGCAAACACAATCTGAACGATCTGAACAGATAAAATAGTGGATGCTCATAACAAACACTTGAGAACCTGACAGTAAGAAAGAAAAACACGACAGGCAAAACTACCTCTTTGAGATGGTCTGCGCTACCCCAGGAGGCTGACCGCTGGTGAGGACTTCCCTGATCTGCTCCATCATCGATCCAGAGACCCGGAGTCTGAAACACAGATATATACATGCTGACACAAACTCAAACGTTACATAACTCATCATTTCCCCAAAACATAAATACATTTGCTAGTGATATGCATTTCAAATGTACCGTGACCTCCTGATAGCATGTCTTATATTACACAGGCACGGAAAGTCCAATGTTGTGTGCAGCTGTACTGCAAAAGAGCATGGGTATGTGCAGAGGGTATCCATCCATACGAGAAAGTTTTATTTAAGACAAAAATGTGCTTCTTCTCAATAATCTCAATTATCTAATTTGAAACACCTTCGACACAGGTTTGATGTGTAAGCATTTCCAGGCACTGGCTTTAACTACAAGATTGTTGACCTTAACATATATAAAAAGATTCTTTTTTTTTTTCCCCATTTATCCAATTCCAGGTCATGGAACATCTGGCATAGGCTCCAGACCTCGCAAGACCCTGAATAGGAGAATAGGAAGATGCAGGTTTAAAGCCAAATGGATTGAGCAGAGGCTAAAGAGTGGGCTGGCTAGCAAGGCAAGGCCTTGATCTTAAATTAACATCTTCAGGGTTTCAAACAATGTACTATAACTGTTTAAGTACTGAATATTGTTGTATTTGTATGCATCAAATAAATTCTTGATATAACGACCTGCAGACCATCTGATTATGTGTCAGTGAGCGAAATATGCAGCTGAATGGTGAGATTAACCAAACAATAGATTGTTATTTATATTACTTAAATGTACATTAAACTGCTACAAATGATATATGTGCACAAAGACATCCACATATACAGAATAAATACTTTCACCAAACTGTACTTATATACACACACACACACACACACACACGAGAGGTAAGGAAATACAAGCTCACACGAAGAGCTCTCTTAAAACCTCACCAAACACAATGATTAGGTAATAAATCCCCTCATTGTGAAGTCAGTCAGGATATTCGCAACAACAAAATAAATAAAAAACTTTTAAAAAGTCAAATGTTTAGATAAGCAGTTGAGAAAGATGCTTGCTAAAAGCAGTAATGATTGCCGTGTGTTTAAAATTAAAGTTGAAAATCTGGAATCAATGAAAGTCAGCAAAACAGTCATGAGATATCATCCCTGAGGAAACTGTTACATTCAAAAGGCAAAACTAAAGCCATTGCATATTTGACTGCTTCCATTACTACGCCGACTTAAGGTAAATACTCTAAACCAGTGGCAGGGGACAAAATTCACTTTATTACTTGCAGACTACAGGAACACAGAATACAAGATGCTTAATTCTAGTCCAAAAACCAGAAACCTACCAAAGAAAACGTTGTCAGCAACAAAAGCATTTTCACGGTTTCCACGTCCGCACATTTAGTCGTGAAAAAGTTTCTTGGCTCATGTAAAATACAGATTTGCTACAGCTGTGCTCTACAATGCCCAGCCTATACCAGATCAATGAGTCTACAGAGAAGTTTTGTATCATCAGTAAACTTTTTTTTTTTTTTCGTAAACGTATACAAAACATTCCCTACAGGAGAGCACACAAGCATTTCTGTGTCACTGCACAAGTCTTTCAGATATGTTTAGCGGAAACAAGAAAACAGTTAAGTTATGCAAATTAATGCAAAAACAGAAACAGACTGAGGATGTTTTATATGGCTGTTTGAAACCACATACTTCCCCCTGATTATGCATATCAACACAGCCTCTGGTTCTCAAACAGCTGATGTTTTATCGACAGCACAGTAGTATGAAGCAACTTAAATGCCAGTGTCTTCACACTGCCTTATGTCTGACCCCACATAAACAGAAAACCCTCTATGGCTTTTCCAACTAACGCACAAGCCTTGCCCTATGATATGGAATATCACACTGTGAATAATGAGGAACACCCGTGAAGTCGTTTGCGCTGGCTCGCTGGTTCCGGTTGCCTGAGAAAAGGACAGCGGATTAAATGAGCACTTGTGCTCTCATAAAAGGGACCACTGTGCTTGGCAGATGTGTAGCTAGCCTTTAGCATTAACATTTTGTGCATGGGCTATGGAATCGCTTGTGCCGTTTGATGCCTCTGCCAAACACTGAGGGACTTGATGCTGCAGCGTAATCTGTTCATGCAAAATGCAGATTGGTTAGAAAGGGCACAGAGACTGTGTGGAGCTTTGGACTCGAGGAAAAACTAAGTTCTCACAGATGTTATGTGACGTCAAGGAGGACCTGTAGCTTATGAAATCTGCAATGCTTTTATTGGCACTTCAAGGTATAGTCTCATGGGAATGATAATTAGTTTGCATTTTTCATTAGTTATACTTATTCATTAGTTATAATGCACAGTTTGGTGTTAATTTGTATTACTTCAGTTATGGTCATTTAAACAGTATCAAAGGGAAACGTGGTGGCAGGCTGAAAAACTGAATGCCCTTGTCAGGACAGGAAGATATTTCATGTTCCTTAATCTTCTTGAGGCTTAAATCACCTTCATTCTGATTTGTGTTGTTCAGGGGTGGCAACAAAGTGCTGCGACCACAGCAACCTTCAGTACAGGAAAAACAGCTTGCAGTAAAAATGATGACACTGAGGTGCGAAGTTGGCCTGAAGCTAGAGCCCTCACTGTTGAGCAAATGTTTAAATGTTGGCTAACAAACAAATGTAAGCGAGTTCACAGGTTCAACACTGTTTTCAACATAAGAGGTCTTCCAAGTGATTATGATTATTATTTTTTTGTTAATGATAAAGAAAGCTTATTACCAGTCAGTGGGCTAAAAGATGACACAGTGAGGTCACAATATCATCATTGTTTGATATCTTAATTTGCAATTTAACTTCCCCAGGGAAATCATAAGATATGGCAGTTACAAAAACCACAGGCTGCCTCTCTTTATTGACTCTGTTCCTCTCAAACAATGTGTTAACAAGAATACCCACCTTTATTTACCTCAGAGGGCCTTTTATCGTTTCAGCTCCAACTTCCAAGCCTGAGCAGTGTGCCAGGTGTGGTGCCTGATAATGTAATGCTCTACAGATAAAACCCAACTGTTACTGCAGCCTGTAGCTCGCTTCCTATTGTGAATCACACCCAAAGGGTTACATGCAGGCAACATCCTCAAGAATCCAGCTCTGTTCCAAAGCAGGAAATAATGACTGGGCTTCAATAGAATCACAGTGGAATTTGTGCTGTTTTGTTTAGATTACATGCCGAGACATGCGAGCAAAGTGCCGCTGCTATAATTTGGTGCATTTTAGAGATGCAGAGACCATGTTCTCTGACTGGGCGAGTTGACTTTATGAGTCAGTAAATCAAAATCACTACAAGAGACATCAGTTTACATTAAGCGTCTAGGAGGCAAACATGGAAAAAAGTTACTGATTAAAACGTGGCATGAGATAACATCCAATAAAGCACTCTAACACATGTTTCTGTCGAAAAGCCTTTGTACACCAAGGCAGAAGTTGGATGCATGTTAACATTAAGCCACCTCAAAGCACGAGAAACAGCATTTCTTTTAACGGCCCTTTGAGGCTTGCTCCCAAAGTGAGCCAATCCCATTAGGGAGTGAGATTTCAAGCAAAAATACCATTTAATTTTCACCAGTTTCTACAGAACTGTAATTCAATGCTAGCTTTAACTGGTGGAGTCTGTGGTAGAACTTGTTTTCTTCTACAGAGAGCTTCAACAGCTTTTGTATTTGGCTTTGGTCATTTTCTAATTACAGAGTAGAAACTGTGCGACTAAGGTTTAACAAAACGACAACCAGTCACAAAAAGTAAATTCATCGACACTCGCTCTGGCAGAGAGCGCATCGGGTGGTAGCAGCGTATTATAGCCTGGATAGTTTTGTCTTTCATAACTTCAGGATGCTTCCTCCCGTATTTATTGTGTTGGTATGTTTTTCAGTTTTGATTAATTAAATTGTAGTTTTATTAGTCTGTTACTTATCACTAATTAGAAGATGTGTGTGTGTGTGTTGCACCTTCACACTTTATGGATGCTGATTGCTAACAAAGTTTGTTAGCCTTAGTTTATAACTTAGCATCTACACTCCACCCAAATATGGTTACATCAAAAAACAAAATGGCAGCTGCAAAACGCCAGCGGGTGATATCACAATGGCTACGTCCATGTCTACCATGTACATGTGAAGTCTCAGTCAAAGAAAGAAGCTAAAATTCATATGAAGCTGTTCAAGATATGAAAATAACACAACAGCTTGTGTTGTATATTTTCAATTACACATAATGCTAATGAGTCTTTTCCTGTCACGTAGGCCCAGAATGTGCACACATATCAGCAGTCAGCTGGTCATCAGCTCCTGCACTGTGTGCAAAGTGCAACTTTTAATAGAAGACATGAGGCAACACAAACTGATCAGTTTTGTCTTTATGCTAGTTCATTGAGGTTGCCTTGGTGTGTCAGGATCCTAATCTTCATACAGACATTCTCTGTGTTCTGTAACCACAGGGCCTAGAGCACGCAGCCCTGTCCCGGAACAGTGATTAGCATATGTATGGGCCCTCTGCTCCTAAACTCCCACACAAAAGGCAGGCGGGCCGTGTAGCCACGAGGGCCAGGTGGTAAGCAGTGGGATTTCTCCTCGCTTCAGTCATAGCCTGGGGGACAGGTGCAAACAACTTCACCTCCATGCAGGGCTGAATTACAGCTCAAAGGAGAGGCTGACTTGAACTTGTGCAATGCACAACAAAAGAGTCTGTGGATCCTTTGTGTGCTGCTTGCTTCTGTTGTTGTCTCATAAAAAGAGCTGGGGCCAGGCACAACTTGTTAACAGGAAGTGGTCTATGACTATCCTTCAGGGATGGTTGTGCATTTAAGAATTTGAAAACATCCAAAATGTTTTTCATTTTTTCCACAGCTTCTAAAGACATAAATCTTAAATTGGATTTTTATTTTAGCTTGCTTCAATCAGATTTTTACAGGTAAATATGGTTAAGAACAAGGCAAACATCACAGAGTGCTTAAAACCCCCCACTAAGTCTAAAAGATGGGTCCATTTATTAACATTAGTCAAGATCCAATCACTATCAAATCAACTTTCCATTCTTGCCCAGTCTGTCCAGAATGCACAGGAACCCTGTAATTAGAGATGTTTACTTTGCACATAGCCAGCTCAAGAAACTTCGTAGGACCCACTCACCACTTCCTCAGCCTACACACAAAGAAATGCAAGGAGAATGAGGGGTTAAAGGGATGAAGCCCATGTAAATGAGCCTCGGCGGTCTTCATTCAGACACATGAAAGGCTTCTGTTAGCACAGAGGAGAGCAGCCCTTGTCATGATCATACATATTCAATATTCTTTCATAACAGAAACCCTCCCCCTACAAAAAAAGGCTCTTTGAGTGAAACTACATTTAACACCGAGTCACATGGCAAGATTAGTAGCTGATTATGTGTGGGCAGTTATCCAGGAATACTGTGGTCAGATTCAATGTGGAATCCATGCATATGCCTTATGAAGTGTTATAATGCATTAAAATGTTGTGCTTTCTGGGAATTTCAGACTATTCAGACAACTCTGTTAGGCCTACACTGGCAGCCGACTCCAGACTTCAACTACCAGATTAATATAACAAAAGTCTTTCGCCAGCACCAAGCACTATGACAGAAACTATGAAAGAAACCAAAAAATAGTTTTGGTACTCATGCCTGCAATTATTTGCTGGGAAAAATCATTAATTTGAAAAGTCCTCCTGGCCTCATGGTTGACAAAGTGGCCTTAAAATAAGATTATAATATTTTATGTCTTTATTTTCCAGTCAACTGTAAAAATAACTTTAAAAGGGCCATAAACCACACTCATTTAGACAGATATTATTGGGGCAAGTAATTGTGCATCTCCACTTAAATGCAGTATTTTGACTCAACTTTTCCAAACATTAAAGACTCTTTCACCACCTAATATTGCACGTGCAAGCAAAATGTAACACTGCAGAGGCTTAATACTGAGTTATGATGCATCAGTTAAAAAACGTCAGCTACTAATTTCCTTCTTATGCTGACTTCTCTGCCTGTAGTGATTTTTTTCCTCCATTGTATCCCCTATGGCTTAGAAGATGACTACAAAGAGTCCAAAATTCCAGTGTAAATGGGATTGTGACGTAATCACAGTTGTTACAACAAATGCAGTGACCACATACAAAGCTGTCTTTGACATCCAACAACAGAAAAAGAGCTAAAGCCTGAGCTTCAAACTCACAAGAGTAACTTGTACATATGTCAAAATCTTTTGAAAAGTTGCCCATGTTTCATTTGAATAGTTAACTGTAACAGCATATACAACAGAACATTAGAAAATGATGCAAATATTTCCTAAATCAAATAATGATTTATTGCAGAATTGATTTCTAAAGTTCAGGGAGTTACTTTGGGCACCTCCTTGTTTCCAGAGAAAACCGTGTAATACATTTTTAAAAGAAAAATGTCCAGAGAGACATCAATTACAACACCCAGAGTTAATTTTGGCAGAAAATCTCCAATCACTAGGCTTAAAGGTTGATTAAATGCACGCCAGCATTGCGTAAAGGTTAAAGATTACTGTTGAAAAGAGTTAGGTTGAGTCAACCCCCGCAGGCCTACAGCCAAGGTAGGATTTTCTGAACACCGTGTACCTGTGTGGCTTTGTCTTTCATACAAGAAGGGTAGGGTCCATGGGAGTCCCGAGGCCACTGGCCAGTGAGGTATGGCCCTGTGATGGCGTCCAAGGAAGAAGCCCGTCGAATGGCACTTGAATTCCTCACCTGTAATTTGGATCTTTCTGCTGTAAAGTTAGAAAGAACAAAGAAACAGAATTAGACACACACGCATGCACGCTGGCATCAGTGCATGTCATGATGTGCAATACTGCCAGACACCCTGAGGTATCTTTTGACTCTTCCTTGCTGAGTGTGTTAATAAGTTTCAACTGAAATGCTAACATTTTAGTGTAACAAATCACTTACTGCACAAATGCAACCAGGAACATGAAGCCATATTTTGAATGACAAACCAAACCCAGTAGTTACATTTTTATCTAGAAATAAAGGAGCATGTAAATCGACGTCAGTTATAATCAAAACATACTGCTTTGATTATAAAAAAAGCAAAAACAACAACAACAAGAAATGTAATAAAACATGGCTTCAACTAACCAAATGAGTTTGTGTACCAATATCTTCTAGTTTTGAAAGTATGGACAGTATGATGTGTTACAGCAGAGCAAAGAGAAGGCTTGCGACCTGAGGCAAATGTAAATGGCTGAGCAGCAGTATCTGATATTATGAGAATAACCTGCTATGAGCTGGAGCAGTTAAGCACACGCCACCCACATAAGAACTCATAAACAACCTTTTAAAAAAAACAAAAAACAAGCGCGTCCATGCTCACAGGTGTACACACGGGTGATCACACCCACAAACTACACCCCTTTTGGCTCCTACCTCAAAGCACACTGTGTTCTGTTGATCTTATGTGCTGCACAATAATGTTTAACATTTAGTATTTACTGTCATATTCCCATATATCATTGTGATGTTGTTTATTCTATTACTCTTGTTCTCTTCTGCTTGCTTTCTTTTTTCTTTCTCAGCAGGTGATCCAGGTGATTGATATATGCATTTTTTTTCTCTGCCCGTTCTGTTGGTTTTTGTCTTTTGCCCTTCTCCCCCGTCCCTCTTCTCAGCTGTTTCTCTTTCCCTCTTTTTTTTCCCCTTCTTTCCCCCAGTCAAGTCTGTCCCGTATTCAGTAAGTGAAAATAAAATAAACAATAAAAGGTGAATCAAATGGACCATTACGGCAAGGCTGGGATGGTCAGTTTGGTAAAGTAAATCCGTTGGGCATCTTTCTTTGCCTTTAGACAACAATTCTGATGGCAAAAGAGCCAAACGGGACAGGCCAAAAAAAAAAAAAAAAAAAAAAAAGAGAATAACCTGCTATGAGCTGGAGCAGTTAAGCACACGCCACCCACATAAGAACTCATAAACAACCACAATGCACATCAATACTGCCTGCATTCACTCTGCATTCCTGCAGTGCCACGCAGTTAAAAACAAAAAAAATCATGTAAAGGTATAAGCTCGAATGTGCTTAGAGACTGCATTACATTTATTAGCCTCAATTATACTTGTAGTAATTTCTAAAAAAAGCAAGTGTACATTCTTTCTTTCATTCCCATATCAAAGGCAGGGTAAAGTAACAGAACGATGAGCAGGAAATATGCTTGTTTACTTTATTCCTTGCCTGAGCAGGCTAGGGCAAGGGCCTTTCCAACAGACACACAGACTAAACTATCTCCATGAGGCACCTCTCTCCTACTAGAACTACACAGCCATTCATTGTTGCTCTTTGTTCGCAGAATACACAGGCCTACACACCCAAAGGTATTGCCTAAGTAAGCTTACTGGGCTACAGTAAAAATTCCCTGAAGCATTCTAGACAAAGGAAGCAGGCTAAATTTCTATCAATATTTATATAGTCCAAGCCAGTGCTCTCAAAACTGGGATTGTAGTTATTTTCCATCATTTCCCCACTTGCCAGACTAGAATAATCTCCCGATGAGAAAAAAGAAACAGTATGAAAGAAGCCAAGACATCAAAGAAGTCTATCTGCAGATTTTTTCATGGGTAAAGTAAGTGTATGTCAAATTAAAGAATTATTTTCAGGTTGAACTTCCCTTCGCAGTTCAGACAGCAAGCTGTGATGAAGTCTTTGCATTTCCAGGATGGTGAATTATTAGCTGTAAGGCAAATGTGATAACAAACATGTAGTTCTCTTTTGCAAAGTATAGAACTGTTCGCCCCAGGTTTGCACAGGGATGCGCGAGACTGGTTGAAGAGAAACTTTGGTTAATTTAGCGTGATCTACAATTCTACTCCTTTTGCGTGACAATTGGCAGGTTTTCTAGGTCATATGATAGCAAATTGAATGCGTTTGGGTTTTAGACAAAACAAAAGACAACTCAAGACCTTCTCAGGCAAGTGCATTTTAAGAATAAATCACTAAGTTTTCCTATTGGTACCAGGCTTAAAAAGAGAGACTGTTTCTTAGACATGGTTTAAGCCTAATCCTAGTTTAGAAACCCTTGTAATTGGACACTTAGGCTTAATCCAAGTTAATATGGCAAATCTACTGAAAGTGCCAACATGTATCAAAAGTGAAAATGCACTGACTTTATCATAATTTTTAAACTGACATCAATTAATTCAAAGTATTTAGTTGAGTTTGAAAAGCAAAATGCGCTCCGATTTTTCCTTTTTTAAATCACGTTGAGGCACCAGCTAAAATCTTATTCTCAACTTGCACGTTGATAACAAGGATAATGGATAACCTTGTACTGGACATAAGGACATAAGCATAGGGGGATTTTTATTTTGTTTGTTTTTAAGACATAAGATACAACCAGTTAATTAGTTAATGCAGTGTTGCTCAATTATGGCAAAAATAATCCCAAATACTTGGCAAATATAAAGTATCTATATGCTGCAATAGCAGCACCTTTATGTAAAAATACACATTTAGCTAACAAATGTCTTTCAGACAGAAGATTTATTTTAAATGCACAGTAGAATTGATTTACCTGCCTGATTAAAGCAAACTGCTTTATGTTAAAAATAAACAAAAAAATAAATATAAAGCACCCTGGTGGAGAGTAAATCTGAGATTTCAGGGCGCAACAAAAAGTAAAGCGTAGGGTGCTGGAAGGCAAGACGACATCGTCAATATTCACAAGATACCAGAGATTTAGTTTCAACCATAATGAGAGGGGGAAAAAAGCAAATAAAAATAATCACTTAACTGCACAGCCCTAAGCTAATATATATCTCCAACAACCCTACATGTGTAGAAACAGTTATAAAAGGATAAATGGAATTAAAGAAGTCTTTAAAACACTAAAAATGAGAACTAAGCTAATGGTGGGCTAATGTATTCATTGCTGTGTGTAAACAAAGTAATGCTCTTCTGTATGTACAGTTCAGCATGGGGGTGGGCAATAAAACGAAAAGATAATTATGACAAAAAACTTTTCTTCAGTGAAAATTTGAGATACAGTAAATATCATTTGTTTGTATTCTTTAACACTTGAAGGTTTTGAATGGTCAGAGTTAAGGTTTTAGTTTATTATATACACTGTATTTAAAATGCAGCAGCATGGAGATCTACAGTACATTTATCATGTTCAGCTTCACACATTTTCCCTTAGGAGTAAAAAATGTATTATTTATTTATTTATTTTTTTAAAGTGATTTGATTTTATATCTTTATATATCCACTGACGGCGATAAAATTTTTTCCCCCCATATCACCCAGTCCTAATTCAACGTCCTGTTCCAAAAACATCACGGCTGTGATGATTTCATGTTCTGATTGTACTGTGGAAGCAAAAATTGTATAATTGTGTGCTAGAAATTCTCAAAGTGACGTGACATTTAAGACATTGATCGGATGGCGGTGCAATCCTGAATAATAAAAAAAAAAACAAAAAAAAACAACCCGCTGGATCAGGTGACAACGTTTCAGTCCAGCTAGCAGGGAAACTAATATATAATGGAGGACATTAAAAGCAAAGTGGCAGCAGTTTGGCTAAAAGGGCATTGGCCCAGTGTATTATTTTTGGAGAAGCCTAGTTACATTTATGATAACAGAACGTGTTGCTGTCTGGTCCATATCTGGTACTTATGTGTGAAGTTATGCACAAAAAGAAGAAATTAGCATGACTATATATGACAGCAGTATGCAGTAGATGCTTATTTAAATGAAACAGAGGTTATTAATTTAACACCAGTATCTGATCATTACAAAAGCCAAGGTATCGATATCTATATCTTACCTTAAAAAGGGGGCGGGTCTGACAATTTTGAAATTTAGCATTTGAGCATGCACTGCCATTTCACACAATGTAAATGAATAGATGATAAAATTAAGTGTGATTGACATCAGAGTTTGTAACTGTGTGTGTCTTTGCAGGCTGAGAAATTGCTTGTTAGCACAAAAAACAGTAAAATAAATTCAGATACATTAATATAATATAAACATTATTCACATCTGAGTCCAGTGGGTATATTTCACAACAAGCTAGTATGAACAGGTTTGAATGCATCTCAGTGAATGAGGAACATATGTGCTAACAAATCCCCCATTTATGTGTGTGGACTTAAGAATGAGCAACCTTTAGATCAAAGTTGAGGGTAAACTTCCAGGTGCTTCAAAATGTCACATGCATAGAGATGAAAGTACAGGAAACAGTGCAGTTGTGCTACAGTCCACCGATTCAGACCACATTCATTTTCACATTTGGTCCTACTCTGCAGTTTGAATAGCTGACAATGAAGCAGGGCCATTTCAGCACAGCTGGCACTTTGACTTTCATTGTGGGGACAGTGTGGTAAAAGATGATGTCATGTTGGTGAACCTAAAAGGTCATAAGGTGAAATATAATACTCTTAACTCTGTCCACCATCATCAGGCTAAGATCTAAAAATCATGTGAACCAAAGTCCATCACCACACCCGTGGCACTGTAAGCCACTTTGGACGGAGTTTTCCACCAAATGGCAAGCATTATGTCTATGAGTGGGTTCAAAGTACTACAGTGTATGAGAAATTATACACTGCACAGACTATTGCTGTAGTCAAATCACACTGAGCTGCAGCAACGAAAGATAAAGTGAACAATTTTTGCTCATATTGAGGGCTTTTCCTGGCTTAAAAGGGGCCTTTGCATGGGGATGACTGTACGTGAACGCCTGACTGGTCTGCAAAGCAAAAAGTCTGTTACTTAACGTAGCAGAAGTCTATGCATTTTGCACTTGGACATTGGATAAACAAAAAACGTATTTTAGGTTTGAGTAAACTACCAAAAAGCATGTTAAGATTTTGTATACATGCAAAAATTTTGATATATTAACAAAACTCAATTTAGTGCCACATGGCATCCACATTTACCCCAAGTATTCCTGACCAATAAATGCACTGTACTGGAAAATACCTGCAAACATGTTTTCAGGTGTCTTTAAAGAATTACTTTCTGAAATGTGAAACTATAAGCAAAAGTGAAAGACAAACTTAACCCAATCTCTTAAAATATTTCTTTTTTAATTAAAGTTCCATTTTCAAAAACAGATGACTGGGCTGTCTTATTGAGTTTACTGTGATTAGAATTTGCTGATCAGTGGAAATAAATATCACCTTCACATGGACACTATTTTACACTTTTTTTTTTTCAAGAAAAAAAAAATCATCTCTAGGAAACACTTTCTATACATTTTATATAGTAAGGCTGGCATTACCACAAAAATAATAATGATGCACTTTATTTCATAAAAACAAACAAAAACAAAAAACTGGAGTTCAAACCCATTCAGAGGGCAAACTGGACTCACTGGTGGACAAGGTCTGGCCTAGGCTGCATGCCCGACACCATGTTTTTACACTGTAGATCAATTTCTATTGATATTTTATGTAACAGGGCTAAGAACTGGCTTAAGGTCAAGGACATAAAGTGCAGCTCTAGAAGACGTGAGCTGTGAAAAAGAAATCCGACTATAAACTGCCAAAGCTTCAACACACCGACCCTGCCTTGTATAAGCGAGCAGTCAGGGAACAAAATCTAGACTTTCGGGATCACTGCAGACTACATGTAAATATTGTATACAATCGTGCTGTTTTAAATGGGGGGGGGGGGGGGGGGAATCTCAATAATGCGAACAACAATTATTAACCCTTGGCCCATACTTTTCATGGACAACACTAATAACTGTATTTTTCAAATTAAATTACACCACTGACCAGGATGCCGGGTAATGCTAGCTAACAATCTGCTGGGAGGGAGTCTGTTGTTGCTTTGGGGATCCGTGAACACAGATGGACGCTGAAGAAACAACAGCAACAAGACTAATTTTGCATCATTTCTGGTCATGCTGCCTCTGTGCCAGACTTGCCCTGGAGGTGAGGTTTAGGTTGCCCCACCCACCCACAATTACAGTGAACCAGGTAGGACAAAGACAAGAGTACTCAAGACTGACAGTTGTTTTGCATGACGTCCATACAATTTGTGTCACCAAAAATTGTAATTTGTCCAAATGGATTTTATCATGAAGCTGAACTTCTTAGTGCTTATGTGGGAAAGTTCAGCTAGATGTTAACTGTGACATGACCCATTAATCCGTGAATTTCTCTAGTTCTCTAGTGTTGAGTGTTTTCACCTTTGTTATCCTGGTGAAAATAGTCAGGGGGTGCATATGACTGTGACACTACTCGCACAAAGCCTCGTCAACACAAGTTACTATCCAGTGAGGACATCCTGGATAATCCTCTGACACTTAAACAAAATTTGCTTAAAAAAAAAAAAAAAAAAAACACCTTAATGCTTGATTCATTGTGATCTGAAACAGGTGGCTGAGCCCATAAACTCATCAGGAAAGTATTTACTGGGGTCAGGAAGGAGAGAGGTTTTTCCATAGACATTTATAGAAGCGCAAGTCTATTTGGAACCACAGTTATTGCCCCCTGGAGGTCGTTAAAAGAATGCAGATATATCTATGGTCAGTGTAAAATACGGCATTGGTGAAGCATTTCTAACGTAACAGGGAAATTCTGCATACTTGTCACTAATGAGGTAGGTCACACAACTTCAACATTAATGCACAACTCTGCTAGCTCACCAGAGCTACTTCACAAGGAATGTGCTACTGTGCTCAGAGCTCATAGCCCTTTTTACTCTTCAAGTGTAACTCATCAGATCATTCTCTAGGCAGAACATTAGACTACAGAGAGGCGGCTATATCAGAGCCAAAATTTGTTTTACACATTTTTAAAAAAAATAAGTACACCAGTAATTGGGGTAAAAAGAAAAAAAGCTGCATATGGTACCTGACAATCAGCCAATGCCCGGAAGAAACTTTGCCTGACACAAAAAAATGATTTGACTTATGAATAATGCGCTGATTAACTTCATTCATTTCAATCTGTCTGCTTGACAGTTTACAATCATAAATGTCTGTGTTTTACTTACTTTTGTAAGTGAAATAAAAGTGACAGGCATCTTTGTGTCATATCTTTATTTTAATGATCAATAACTTATTCTGGCAATCTTATCGGTTATTTGTTTCAGTTGTTTTTCCACCTTTAAATTGATCTATATGCCACATTTTTCACTTCCGGGAACCATGAGACCACTTGCTGATGTGGCCCATAGTACTTGTCATCTGACGCCTCACAGGCGTGTTTGTACTGTGGGGTCACATCCGTGAACGAGGGTCAAGCCTCTATCATCATCACCACTGACATGGGACACTAGTCTAGGTTAGAGGTTGACTCTCTCAGAGGACCGAGGTATGCATGGCATGCCAACAGAGCAGGGGATCAACACCAGCTCAGGTGAAATTCACCATGCTTGGTAAAGCTGCCCACTCAGTTGTTATTGAAGAGACTTAGTTTCCTGCCTTGCATGCTACACTAGTCAAGGCTGGAGGTCATCTCATTCAAAGAACTGAGGAATGTGAAACACGTCACAAACATTAAATTCCACACACTACTCCATAATAACTATCGTGCTGCATTGAGAAAAGAGGGCACCCATTTAGTTAAAGGTAAGAGGGAAAATCTATTAGAATTTGACAAATGGAAGGAACACTGCCCCAGCTGCTGAGGCAGGAGTAGTCACTTAGGTTAACCAAAGCAGAATGAGCCTGTTTTGCCTCAATATACAGGAAAAGCAGGCCTTTCTTATCACAGAGTGTTTCAAACACTAGCTTGACAGAGCGTGGTTAGGAGTGTTTTTTCTACAAAAACACGGGGGGCTACAGAAAAAGTAGTATTCTTTCAGCAAAAAAGAAAAAGTGCACTGCTGGCCTGTGAAAGCATACTGCTACAGAAAACCGGCCACAGGGTCAATATTTGGCAGGAGAAGCAGCCAGTTAAATAAGGTTTAGTCAGTGAAGCACTGGGTGCTGCCTAAACTCTCATATGCTCCTTCACTGCATCTCCATATCTCTTCCAAAGATCAACTGGGCATGACATGAAACAACATAAGGCCAGGCTCTGCTATCCATGTGCAAGGCAGCATGGTGAGGTTTAGCATATGTTCAGTGTACATGCATCTATGTATGGAGTGAGAGTCAGTCTAAGCAACACCTGACCATTTCTCTCGCGTGGCTTCTCCTGGGAGTGACGTGGCCGCTGTTATAACTAAAATCAGGTCTTTCTGCCAATTCTCTCCTTTCAAAAGAGCAAATAAAGTAAAGGAGCCAGTATTTCACTCGAGCCTCTTTATGACTGCATAACTGCACTTAAAGATAGGCTTAATGCATAAAACCTCCTTCAAAGCAAGTGCCAGCCTGACTCCAGACTTACTTGTTACCCACCCCAAAAAAATAATATGCGATCACATTTTAGCACATTTAATGGCATGACTATACACCACACAGTGACAACATAAGTTAGGCTATCAAGACAAGTCATCCTGAATCAAACGCACGTGGTGAGCATTTGTTGACCCAGCACAGACAAAGTTGCTGAAAATCTTGTTTTTACCTCTGGAAACTGGAGAGTCTGGGGGGCAAGACGACTCCTTATTTTCGGGGGACAGTCTTTGCTTAGCATTTGCACTTCCTGAACTGAGTGTCGGACTGGAGGGGGGGCTGGAGCCCCGGCTGTGGCTCGTGGCTCCTCCGCACAGGGTCTGTGGCCGCGTGGGACTGCTCTGACCCGCACGAAGGAGCTGGTAGGGCACAGTGGCACGGATGGGGTGCAAACGGCAGCTGTTGTTGTTGAAGGAGCCGGGGGAGCCCGCATTGCTGCGTCTGACCCTCGGCTGCTGAAGCGAGTTGCTGGGGGCTGACATCCTCAAAGTGACTGTAATTCTTATCGCAGTGGGAAAAAAAAAAACACGTACTGCCAAAGTTGCTGTTTTTCTGCAGAAGGAGATGGTGGTGGGGAGAATGGGATGGGGGCGGTAAGAGAAACATTAGCTTGTTAGCAAAAAACAAAACAAAAAAACAAAAACGTTAGCTTCCTTTAAAAAAAATCAGCTCATTCGTTCGAAGAAAAAAGTAGGTCAAAGACGTATTATTACGGGATAAACTTACCTGTTAGATACTAACAAATGCCGTCGTAAGCTGCAAACACAACATGGGCAACTTTAAAAGTTGTTTTGTAATACTTCTCATTACGTTTAATTCGTGTTTTCCAGCTCTCTCTGCGTCTTCCCCATCCTGTCCACTCACTCTAAATGACAGTTCTTTCTACCAGACTACTGGCTGCTGCCTGTGGGCGGAACACAACGCTCAATTCCGAGCGTATGATTGGACACTGGGGGTGTACAGTAACGACGCTGATTGGTCCAAATTTATGTATTAGCTATATTCTCAGCCAATTATATCTGTAAATATTTTATCGGTACATTATTATTATTATTATTTTAATTACATAAAGAGCATATAGCTCCAAAATAAATATTAAAACTTTGAACTAATAAAAACTTGTAAAATGACTTCATGACATTATTCATTATTTTGTCAGCTTCAGATGTAATTTCACACTGAGGTGAATGGCTTTTCCTGCAGGCACCCTCTGCACCTCTTTACAGGCAGTGTAAACTTAGTCATCAATTTCAGCTCCACAGGAAATTTGGACCACCTCAAAGTCTATATTTATTAGCTGTTGTCCCTATATGACTCACTTAGCTCCTTATTTTATTGTATTTAGATTGTTTTGCAATCTAGATTTTTTTTTTTTGTTCTACTTTCTATTTAACTGGCAATATGAGAAGATATTTCGATACATTTTGTCACATTGTATTGCTTTATTGAGCTACTTCACATCATTTAGTTTGTCACACCCAACCAGTTTATCTTAGCCTCATTTAGTGCACCGCCCACTAATCCAGAACCACCTTGCTTTGAGGAAACAGTGCTAAACACTGCAGCACCATAACTGTTAATCTCATTTATCAAGCGGTTTCCCTTTTGCAGAGGACTGGAAAGTTTATATCTATATTTGATTTTAAAAAACATATATATTTATACGAATCAACTCTGAGCGGCCTTGACCTTGTTTCACCTACTTTCCTTGTCTCTGTTAATGATACTGTGCATAAGTGACTTGAGAGCTTGCTTATGTGACTTGACTCAGGTCAAATTCCTTTTATGCTTAAAGATATTTGGCAAATGAATGTGTGTGGTGAGACGGTTGGTCATCTGTTCCTTTTCCAATGGCAGAATCTCACTCTCAAACTTCAGGCCAGCTCCAGATGACAAAACATCTTTATTCCACGACAACTGGCCAAACTACATTTGTTATGTTTAGAAACATAAAAGTGAAAGTTCCAGAAAAGCAGCCAACTTGGAGTGGAATTATTTGTGTGCAAGCTCTTGTTTAGAAAATCGGGATGCTCAAAATCTATTGTTTTTTTTCTTTCTCACCATCTTCCTGAATGCACAGATTCTGTGGGAGTTCCCATGGGAGAATAATGAGTGACTCAATGAACAGAAAGAGTGAGCATGTGACAGAAAACCCACGCTAACTGCGTCTATGAAACATAATAATGTAAAAATAAGCCTTATAAGGTTATGGAAAAACACCCCCATTCAGCAGTGCTCTAATTTGTCAGTCAGAATTTATTTCAAAGGGAAAACACAAGAAACAGTGAAAGGATGAAATTCCAGCCAATCTGTTTTCGGGATGCTACACGACTTGCCAATTTGTCAGCTCCACTCCAAAACAGTTCACAAAAGGGCACGCAGACTTATAAACCTCCCACACTGAGAAAAAGATTCTGGTGAAAGCAGCATACAGTAGTTCCTGTGCCCCCCTCCCATCACCATCACCACCTCCTCCTCCTCACTCCATGACTAAGTGATTTAGCCAGCTCTAGTGCAGACCGCCTCTCACTTACAATGCCTCCTTGGGTTAGTGACTGTGCGGGGAGGGTGGCAGAGAAAGAGAGAAAGCCCATTTACAATGTGGTTTACACACAGCCGCTCCCCCCACCACAGACAGCGCCCATCCTTGGATTGATGTGTGGTATGCATAGTTTTTGGGTGCAATTTGGACACCAGAGGGAGAGAGAAAGAAAGAGAGGGCAAGTGTGTGTGCACAGGGTGCAGGAGGGGGTGTGCAAGGCTCGGGCTCTGTTCGCTCGCCCTCTCTTTGAGTCAATAGTGTTCCGGCAGCTGAGGTTCTTTATGAGGGGAACAATCTGGAGGGTCTTGTCAGAGTGCCGAGCAGCTGCTGTTTTCTGGGGCGCTTCTTTCATAGACCACAGGCCTGGAGTGGGCTGGTGAATAAAGACGCACCCTCCCCACACTCTCCGCCTCACCCATCACCACTCCTACTTTCTCCAATTCCTCATCCTCCCCTAGCCACCCCACCCGCACTGCCCCTGCCCTCCACAATGCCAGATGCAGAGTGGCAAAGAGGAACATGAAGAGAGCAAGAAGACTGTTATTGTGTGCTAAACTCCCCACCGTCACCCGGGGTACCGTCCTTTACCCCGAACAATGCTTTGATGAGGTATGTGAATATCCTTTGTAACACAGACGTTATACAGTACAGCGTATTAAAACAAGAGCCAACAAATGTAGCTCAGACATATTGGCACCTGTGATTACATCTTTACATTCTGATGTGTGAGTGGAAAACTTTTTTTTTTTGTAAGAGATCACTATAAATCACAAGATTCCTGATTCAGGCTAAACTGGAAGAGGCTGAATGCAACAGAGCCTCTTGTGTTTGATTTTCATTAGCAGAACATCGAGTGTGCATTCGCTCCCTTTCGGTCATTGATTCAATTAGTCAGATCAGTCACACACACTGCCTCCCTTCTTAATACAGGGCTCAGTTACAATGTTACATTCACTAGACTATATAACTTAACATCATTTCATTCTATTCAATTCAAGCAGCCCGTTTAGAAAAGGACATCGCTGCCACCGTCGCCCCATTGTTGGCTGCCGATTGCAGAGGTGAACCTGCTGGTGTTTGGCCTCAGTTCCTGACAGGCGTCTCCTGTTTAGCTGCTGTCTGAAGGCACAAGATTCCCTGTAGTGTCCAGCTGCATGCATTTACACGTACACGCTGACACTGGGCACTCTGTGTGGTCTCTGTAACACACATATGAAGGTCGGTTAAAACAAAACATGCAGGTAAGTGTACAAAAGCTAGTGTAGAGTTTGCACAGCTCTCTCAGCTCAGAGAAAACAAAAGAGCACAGCATGTCTGTCTCTCTGGATTTTTGATAATGAAACTGTGGTTTGGAGTATGTGGAACAAATTCCTGTAATTTTACTTTTAAATGTAATTTTAAATAAAGCAGTGAAAACACTGAAACTGGTATTACATTTGTAGTAGGAGATAACAGCAGGCAACTTTTTGAGGAAAACTAGAAAAAGCTGTGAAACATGCATTAGGCACGAAAATGAGAACAGGTTGTGGTGCAGGAGGCATAAATACACAAAGGACCAGAAGAAGAACATATTAGGTGTATGAGGTACACATTTACCCTTACAGTTAAGTAACAGTTAAAAAAAATTAAGTTCAGAACAAAAACTTTGCTTTCCATAATAATCACTGCACTGCAGACACTCAGCCTACAGGTTCCAACATGGTAGTGCAACAATGCTACGCCAGAGCTAATTTCAGTGACCAGTAACTTCTGTCCTAGTCTTCGTCAATGACCATTTTCTTCTGACAAAAAAAAAAACCAACTAAAAAAAACAAAAAAAACAAGGCGACAACTAAATAATAATTTTTAAAAAACTAATGCACGAGGGAGCAGGCTCAAAAAATTGTGGTAATGTAAGCTGCTCTTGTTCGTATTTGCGCTGTTGTTCGTCCTCCAGGTTAGCTCCCCTGGCAGAGAAGACAGAAATCACAATATGCACAGACTTGGCTTCACTCAAATACAAAAACACAGTTAAAAACAATGAAAAACTAACAGAACTGTTGTTTGTGCTTCTGTATGTTAGCCTTGTTTTCGTTGCTTCGTTTGGGTTTTTTTTTGCTTCTTCCTCTTCATGGTGAAATCTGCCATTGTTCCCTTTCTTGTTAAAGCCAAATTTTAACCACACAGCATTCTACCTATTCATAGTGTCTGAGCAACTTCTGCCTTCAGTAAATTCCAGCAATCTTTTACACCACACAGCCGAAGAGCTATACAAAGGGAACAAAGACTAAAATAAAATTTGGTTTCCAGTGTAATGCGAGATTTATTTTTAAATTATTTTGCTCACACCGAGTATCTATTAGAGCTGTTAAAAAGTGAACTGATTAGCTCAGAAGTTAGTAGGTTCAGGCATCAGACTGACTTTCTGGAACAGCCATCCCCTTCAGATCATCTGCCTCAATAACTGCATTTAAATCTTGACTGAAGCCAAATTTATTCTAATGTCGGTCTACGTCTAAGTTATTAACTGTGTCTTTTGTTGATTCTTTGTCTGCCCCCTTGTAATCTGTAATACCATTTTCTAAGTTGTTTCTAGGATGACTTCCTTTTTTTTTTTTTTTTTAAATCACATGCTGTGCACCACTTTGGTCAATGCCTGTTTTGTAAATCTGTTACATAAATAAATTGACCCGACTTGCTTAAGTGCTGCATATCTTTCAGCATTCATTTAATTTTTCTACCACTTTTTTTGGCTATGATTGATTTTGTAAAAGTACTTCATATGACACAATGCAAAACTTCTTAGCAAACTTTAAGAGAGACTGTTCAGAGGTTATTTATTGTTTATGTTAAAGAAATAAAAACATGAACTTCAGCAGCAGATGCGTCTGAAGAGTTTCTGAGCACATGCATCCCTCCTACCTGAACCAGCTGAGCATGTGGCCAGCATGGCCACCATGTCGACAGTTGTGACACCAGGTAAACCAGTTATTAAACTGAGCCAGTTTGTTCTCCCTTGTCAGGTCCACTTTTTCATCTGATTTACCAGTTCCTGCAAAAAAACAAAAAAGAAATAAAATATCAGTAAAGTTATAATGTTATCCTATTATGAGCAATAAGGAGAAAAGGCTTGACACTAAATGTCCAGGTGCTACCTGTGCTTAAATGCAGATCAAAGTCCACACATTAACTCAGGTAAATGCTCAGTTAAGTGTTACAGCCACTTAAGCTGCTCCAAGATGTGTGCCTGTTACTGGAAATATCAGCTGAGCATCTGTCCACATAGTCCAGTTTACCTTGGCAATTGGAAACAGGTGTGCCCATGTTCATGAGGCAGAGGGCACAGCGTGGCAGC